AAGTAAGTAAGTAAGTAAGTAAGTAATTGAGTACCATAATGAACACTAGTTGGTAGAAATGTCAGTGGGATGCTAGTTGCTAATCATTGTGGAAGGATATGAAATGGTTGACTGAAAATCACTCACGAGAGTCAATCATCGACGTAACTTCACCACTTTATCTCAACAGTTATCAAATGTTAAAAAAACTAGCTTTCAAAATAATTTGTTTTTCTTGTGTGTTGACTTGCCAACACAAAAATGCTGAATGTTAAATAACACATGACCATAAGTTATTTAAAGCATACGTGATAAGGTGAGGACTTTTTAGGTCATTCATAAATCAAAATGGCTGCGAACCTTACTCTTATCTATCATATAAATATAACTAATTATCAAAGAATCAATAAATGCATAATTGTCATCACAACTATCCAATCTTATAGTAAGATCTAATCTACTAAAGACACAAAACTAAATATCTGTTGAAGATCATCCGGAACATTACCAAAAACATAATAACTATTGTCAGCATATCTCTGTAATTAGTGTGTGAAGTTCGTCGAGTTTTAAATTAAAGAATGACTTTAGTTAGAGAACCATTAAAAACCTGGAAGCACTGGACAGCCTATTTCGTCCTACTTCAGTAACGCCCATCAACTATCCTCCTACATATCGAATCCAAGACCTTCAAGTCTCGCGCAAAACCTTCAAACTACTGAGCCACCATGGTTCAAATATCCGACTTCAATCAATTCGTGATGCTACACAGCTGATGTCGAGTGCCTTTATGGATGGGGAATTACCTCACACACAAGATGGTTGTACTCCACTGCAAAGAGTTTATCACATTAGAGTTGAAAGAATTATTTTTTGAAATTAGCTCGTGTTGAACATAGGATTATTAATTGTATAGGGAATTTGTGGAAGCAGATGAATTGAAACGATTACGTCAGGAGACAGTTGTCTAGTTTTTCAAAAGTCCACATCACATAATGGTAGATTTTCAAGCTAGTACACATTTATTCGACAGCTGCTTAACTTTGTTTTAACAAACGTTGATAAACGAAGCGAAATTTGCAAGAAGAAAAGTCGCATTTGGGACTGGGCATCATCCTCTCTGACTGGTCTCAATCCCTGATGGTCCCGGTCGTACCTCGCGATTTTAAAGCTGCATACAACCCTATTGATCGTGAGGTTCTTTGTCAGTGTCCGTCATTAAAATGTGTAACAGAGAAGTAATCGAACACTACAGGACGAGTTAGAGCTCATGGCTAACTGTCATCGGAATTGATTACTTCAATTGGTGTACGTCAGTCATGTTCACTTTCTCCACGCTTGTTTAACTTTGACGTAGGCATTGTGTTAGAGTTAGCTTTATCTCCGCCTGAATTTTCAGGAGTGGACCTCCTACCAGGAGATTCGCCTGTTGACTTTGAGTATGCCGATGATATAGTTCTACTTGGTGAAGAATCTGACAGAATGCAGAGTCTTCTGACTACCCTAGGCAACAATGCAAGCATGTATAGCGTAGAATTCCTTTTGTCGAAATTCATAATGTTGCTTAGGGATTAACTTGCTTTGGCACCTGCACTATTGATAGACAGTGAAGCATTCGAGTATTTCGACCGCCTTGCTTATCTCGGGATTCTCATCACTTCTGATAGCCTGGTGACTGACGACATCTCAGCACAGATACAGTAGGCTCGATCGGCTTTCGTCAACTTGCGTCACTTATGGCGCAGGCGAGACAACCGTTCGCTAACCAACGAACGAGTCTACTGCGCTCCACCTTACTCTGTGAGTGTGAAGCATGATCATTAATAGTAGAGGATATTCATAGGCGACTAGTATTCGGCTATAAGTGTCTCAGAAGCATTGGTCGAAAATCCTGGGTCCACCGAGTAGGCGACGCTGTTGTTAGGAAACGAGAACTAGGTAAGGATGGCAGATCAATCGATGAAATAGTGAGTAGTAATCAATTGAGATGCTTGGGACACGTGCTACGTATGCCCAACCACCGACTGGTTCGATGCGCGATGTTCCGTGGTGTAGGTGTAGGTGTTCTGTGGATGAAAGCTAGGTGTGGCCAAACCAAAAGATGACACACGTCCATGAAGTCACTGAAAACTGGACTGAGTCGTGTTGGTACATGTAGACTACCTGATAACTACCTAGTAACCGATGGTTAGACTTTGAATGACATGGCTCAAAATCGTTTGCAATGGCGTAAGTGCATCCACTCTTTGTGTTCTCTCAAGTTCTAATCGTCTGAATTCCTCATCACCTCTATCTTTCTTTTTTTAAATGTATTTCACTGAATCATACTTTTTGAATGACATCTTTGAACCCTATTCTCTTCCATTACCGCTGATACTTTTGCTACATCTACTACTATGGGATTCGAATTGACAAGTGCGTCTGTGTTAATGTGGTACGGCAACTTGAACTGACGTACGTGCGTATGAGGTTCTACGTTGTAGCTAACTGACTGAATGTTGGTTTATGTGTTGCTGCTATTGTGAACGGTATTTGGTAGCCTTGTGTTTTTGTATGTCTTCGCTCGTTGGAATTTGTTTTATACGCTGTTGATTTTGTAAATTCTCGCGTTATTACTACTGTGGTTGAGAATTTATATATGTGGTTTGGCTTTCAATATACGCAAATCTCTAATGTTGTGGTGTCGGTTCTTCGCCCAACATATATAATAATTATGGTTTTTTGTTCAAATCCTTTTCCGTTGTTCAGTCGATGTCACTGAATACGATCAAATTATAGACATTCTCTAGTCCATCCTTTTTCATTATGGCAATTGAATTTTCCACATAAGATTTTCACACTTTCTGCTCGATGCTTGCTGTCTCTGATTTGCCGGTGATAAAGTTTACTTTTTTTTTCAATATATCAGTTGTCATTGGATCAATCATCTCGTTATTATTTTTAAAAGTTAGACAGAGATGATGATGATTTGGGTGATATAAGTGGTGTATTTATACGGTCGCTCTCAATTTCAGCTATCTGGTGTAACAAATGATGTTACTAAGTTTTAATAACTATGATATGGTTCCAACATTATAAATTCTGGTAACTGTTTCGTGTATCATACTTGTTCTCTTCATATAACCTTCCTTCAATACACACTTGATATTGAAGTTTTTTTAAAAGAATAAAACTGGTCAGGTTTCGCTTAATTCATGGCATACTTTTTTATTACTGAGTGATTGACCAAAGTTACTTTTACATCCTTAAATATAATAATAATGATAATACAATTTATGCCTAGTCATTTAAAACTAATGTTGTACTTTGATAAATATCACTTGTTCAATGTTTAAGAAAATGTTTAATTTTTGTTAGTTCATTTTGAATAATGCTAATAATACTTACTATCCTTACAATTTGATGATTGAATTTCTTTAATTAGTATTGTTGTTAGATTGTATCACTTATTGATTTTTTTCTCAACTACCAAGCGTTATTAAATCTGTTGTCATTTAATAAAATGTAGGTTTCTATTTTCGTCTAATCCGAACATGAATACTGTTAGAGAAAGTATTATAATGATTAACTAACTAGCTGAGCATTGAATATCGATTATTTCTATTTGTTCAAAATAACTCAGTCAACATGATTTTTCAACTATACATTAAAAATTCTTCAAAATATGTATCTCATAATGGCTCCCATAGAAAACGTATAATATTTTCTGGTGAAAATTGTTTTACTTGTTTTACACGTACTTTTGTTGTATTGAACACGAAGTTTTAAAATATGGAATTTCTGGTCATTGCACGATTCATCCATCAATTAGTTATTATCAAAGATCATATACTAAGTTTGAAATGAGGTTGTTTTACGCGTAGATGAGGTATTTTAATTGTATTTCGAAATGTTTGGGAATAAGTTTCATTTTCTTAGTCGGTTACACATTACTTTGTTATTATTATTGCATTTGACACTTTTACCTTGGCAATTTACCAATGTGACTACAAAGCTCTAAATGACTAAATATCTTATTGTATTTGCAGTTGATTGGCTCCCATCAGAATGAAGTATCTTCAAGTGCTAATAAATTCTATCATCTTATATACATTTATTGTAACAGTTGAAAATAATGTCACTAATTTCTTCAAGTTATAATTATTTCTTCGTATGATTCACTTATACATTCGAATTCGTCAACTCAGTTTGTTATTAATTAATTTGTCGGTTTCAACAAATATTCTTACAGTGTGAATATGTTGTTTAAAAACTTTCATTAAGAACCATATTTTGTTTCTCTCTCGATACCGTATTTCAATATTCCACTATAAATCCATAGCCATTAGTCATATATATATATATATATATATATATATATATATATATATATATATATATATATATATATATATATATATATAATTGAGTGGTCATTGAATACTGAGTAATGTCATTGAGTTGCGATGTAGTCACAAGTTTAAGTGAGTCAATCGATGGAACTTGACCAGCACTAAGAAGAACTTGACATAATCACATAAAAATACCCTCGGTACGTATTCTGAGTAGTGAATCTTTTTTTTCAGTTTTCTTGCCTTTTTTGGTTAAACGATGAATATGTATTCTTGTAAACCTGTCTAGCCTAGTCTTCACAAACGCATTTTATTAGTAAATAGGATATAAAAGTGCATCACCAAGTATTAGTATCTTACCACCTACTCCTTACCTCTATGTACTTTACTGGTTCAGCCGTGCCTAGCTTTTTCCAGCAAACTCTGTACATAAAGTCACTAACTCTTGGGCTGAATCTCGTTAGTAGTTATAAACTATCTTACTGGGGTCTGCGTTACTAACTGTCACCAGTGGTTGTACGTGTTTAATAACATGGCTGAGAATCAGTTGTAGTAGCCCAGATATAATCAATCTTTATCTTGGTTCAACTTGAATTGCTTAATAATCGTACGAAAACAGTTGCCCGAATAACCGTACTAGGGATTTAAAGTTTTTCTAGTTATTTTCTTTTTCATTGAAATCTTTTATAGCCTACGACGGAAAAAGTACGATAGACCAAAAACTTCTACATTGATCAGTGATCTTGACAGTGATTTTGAACAAAATGTAAGCAGTTCAGAAACCGTGTATTCACCTCCAGATATTTGGGCATATGACTGTGTCTATAGTGATTCTTTTACAAATACGGTGAAAACTTCACAAACAAGCATTAATTTTAATTCGCTAACTTTTGATTCATCTGGATATGAACAATTAAATCCGTCATGGAAAACAGGAACTGCTTCTTCTAATGTATCATATATGTATCCCAAGTGTAAAGAATATCCTAATTCTCAACAAAATACTCCTGCTCATTGGACTAATGCACCTCGTTGGTGTATTCCTCAATTAGAAGTACGCATTACAGCGCATTTAAATGATAAAAAAAAATCATATCAAAATTTAACTAAGAATAATTCGAATCATTCCATTAGTACAGAAATTACAAATGATTCTCCAGTTAACCCTCGAATACGTCTAGTTTGTGATCGTAAGTGATCTCTGTTGACTTATGTTTTTGTGTAATGACTATGCATTATGGATTTTAAGTGATTTTATTCCATTTATATTTATCAGTCATGAATTCATAAGTTATGGAGGGTTTTGTTTTAGAATGATACTTCTCATCAGTACACATCTGTGACTTCACCAGGGATCGAACTATGGGCTTTCAAGCGTGTTTAATTCTCTCTGTTTTTCAGTAGTTATCTCATTTCAGTCAATATGTGATGTAATTTAAAAAACAGTGTAATGCGCTGCAGTCGTCCCTAACTTAAATAGAGACGATAAATGACTAGTAATTTCAGCTATCGATATCTACACGCTTCATCGAAAATGACAATCATCTATAGATTATAGGTCAAGTTCGGCCAATTTCAATGCATAACTAAATTAATTATTTGATGTAACTAATTTTTCAATTAAAAATTTATTGATTCGGTTTTTATGTGACACTGTGGTAATACTACCGAATGTCTAAACCAAAATATACAAACTGTGGTTTTGAATCCTAAACTTAATGGTTATTCAAATCAAATGCTTAAAACCACTAAGCTATAATTCCCCTATGAAGAATGTTACATGATATTAGGATTCACTCAATTAATAACTTGATCAGTCATCTATTAGTAACTTTGAACTTGACCTTAACGTCAATTGTGTTTAGGGTTTTGTTTTTCATTCAACAACTACTTAAATAACTGATAATAAATTGATTTTCTTCTCTTGTTAAATCAAACTATATTTTATCATTGATAATTGGAACTTTTCGTACTAATTTACTCACATCTAATGTGTGTTGTTTATATTTATTGATTGATAAAAGTGTTTCTATTCTATTCGGTTTTTTTAACTTGCGTTAATTTTTTTAAGCTACAACCACATTCGTCAATGAACTTATGTTAGAAGCACTTGCTAATGATTTAATCCCACAAGAAATTAATTTTGATGTCAATCAGTTTCAATTACGTCTTCAAGGAAGAGCTGAACTATTACGTCCGTAAGTTGTTTTTTCTTTGTAATTTGTAACTGTAGTTAATAGTAATTGTTTTTGTTGTTGTTGTCAGCTCATGATATTATTGACAAGCATCTAAAGAAATTATCAAATAATAAATACGAACTTAATTAATTGTGGTATGAGTGACATACGAAATTGATCTTTATCACTGGTCGCCTGTGATATATAGTCACACTGTGGCACAGGTGCATCCACTGTTGCTCTCTAATCTTCTCCATTGCTGCTAATACTTCTACTATCGCTATCACTCTTGGATTTGAACTGAAAGTTGAGTCTCTGTGCTGACGTGGTATGGCAACCTGAACTGATGTACGATGTTCTGCGTTGTATCTGTCTGTCTGTCCTAGTGTTAATTCCTTACAACTATAATGGTGGACGTACGGTATTGTTGATTTCAAATAAAAAAGATGATTGAAATGAAAAGGAAAACGTGTGATTCATTGTCTTTTATTTTATTGAAAAGAAGAATTTTATATGAAATCCCCAGGGCTGATATTGAGCAACCTTGTCCGACACCGGTCTCTGCTTGGAACGAGTTAGTAAGCTGTCCATTTATACATGCATGTATCTGAAAGTTTTTAGTGACCACTAGTTAAATTTTACTGAATTATCTAGAAAACTCGGTTAGAAAACATTTCTTACTGTAAAATTAAACACAACATGATCACTTAGTGTTTATTCCTTACAACTATAATGGTGGACGTACAGTATTGTTGATTTCAAATAAATAAGATGATTGAAATGAAAAGGAAAACGTGTGATTCATTGTCTTTTATTTTATTGAAAAGAAGAATTTTATGTGAAATTCATTCAGGTATCTTTTTCTAATGAATTCCATATTTTAAAGTGTACACAATGTAAATTGATCACTTGTTTACCTAATTTTACATAAGAACTTGGAACAGATGCTTACATAAAACGGTTTCTATAGTAATCGACTTAATAATGAAACCATTGCGATCACTATTCTAATCTAAAATACTTGTTGTAGTAACATTAATAGTAGTAGTACAGATTGAGCATAGCAAAACTCATAATAACAGTACTTGAATTTAGATGATAAATAATGAAATCAGAATTTCAAACAGTTTTGTGAACATGCGTACAACAGATCTGCGACTTCTTCCTCTGTATTACTCATACACGGTTTATACCACATATTTACACATTGATTAATTATGAGAATAAACATAATTAATTTACGCTTTCCCTTTGTTCAAATTGTTTATTGATTTGAAAAACGATTGACTGAAGAAATTAAATAACATTGATTCTACTGAACCCAATTACATTACAAGCATGGTAAGAACACCATCGTTTAGATATGAGTGCGTATAACTCTTGTTCAGTGCAGTCTAAGTTCAATACAAATACCGATAGAGTTCAGAGAGTCTAAGTCACTTTTACTGAATAAGTGTTTATAAATTTCTTTAGGACTGAAGATTTACGTAGCCGCGTTTACAACAATAGGATAATGTATCGAGTAAGGCATTAGATGAAGTTCGGAGTGAAATCAAAAAGAATGAATTCCATGGTATTTAATGTGCCATAGAGGTTCTCTAAAATGTAGTTAAATTTAACCGAACCATTATAGAATGATTTATTTAACTGACTATTACAACTATAGTTTTACGGTATGGAACAGTGTTGATTCATAGCTATTCATGGAATCCGAACTGTAACTATTTGAAGATATTTATGAAGTTTCCCCAACACACACTACATGCTACAATATTATCCAGTTGACAGATAAGAGTCTGCTACTACTGCTGCTACACCAGTCGTCTTCTCCTGCTTTTGTTGTCGCTTGTGGGATAGGAATTCCAGATCTTCGGTAATGTCCGGACCGCCTAGCTGCATCTGATTTGTCCACTTTATCGTGCCTTCTCTCATATGTTGACATCTTGATAATCCAATCGACCACCAGGAGAATGATGGGGGCTGACAGTAAGCATCCTTGCTTTACACCGGTCTCAACTTGGAACGAGTCTCTGAGTTATCTTCCATTCAGTGTGCGAATTTAATCCGTAATAAGAGTTCAATATCATGTTGACTATCTTTTTAATCCCGCCGTTTTGTCATCCTTCTTTCCAGTTTGTTGGTACTTGTTCTTTATCCCAATGGTTGCTGAAGAGAATGTGGAGTATCTTTGCTGTTACTGCTTCGTCTGCTTTCACTGCCTCAGCTGGAATGTTGTTTGATCCCGCTGCTTTGCAGCTCTTGATTTGTCTGATGGACATGCTGTTTTCTCCAATCGTTGGTGGCTAAACATTTATTATGAGGTCCGCAGTTGCTGCTGATTGGCTTCAGTGTGGATCGTCTCTCCAACAATTGTTCCAACTGCTCTTCCGACCCGTTTTACTGTTCTTGAATGTCGGTGATTGTTTTCCCTTTTTTATTTTTCACTATTCGTTCTGGTCTGCGATATTTTCCATCTTGCTTCTTCGTTGTTCCTTGTAGTTGTCTCATGTTTTCGTCTCCTGTAACTTAATGTGCTATTGTTGTTAAGTCCTCTACATAACTACGTTTGTCGGCTCTGATGCTCCTCTTCACTTGCTTGTTTGCTTCTGTGTATTCAGCTTGTTTCTTGACTCCCTCTGCCCTTTTCGGCTAATGTTGATTTCTGCCTTGTTGTTTCTCCTTTCTCGAACCCTATCCAGAGTATCTACAGAGATTCATTTCTGGTGATGGTACTTTTTGTGGCCCAGAACCTCCTGACATGTTGAAATGACTGCTTACTTGATCCCTTCGTGGTTGTTCCCTACGTTAGTTTCCTTGTCATTGAGTCGGTCGTGGATGGCTTGGAACCTATTACTGAGAGCTCTCCTCAATTCGTTGAGTTTTTCGGTATTCCGAAGAATGGCCGTTATAAACTTTTGTGATGCTGTTTCCTCAGTTGTCCAGTGCTTCTTTAGTTTCAGCTTCATTTTGGCTACCGACAAGTGATAATCTGAAGCTTTATTAGCTCCATTCTTGGTTCTAATGTCCTCCATTGTCCTGAACCTTTTATTGATGCAGATATGGTTGATTTGGTTCTGTGTAGTGTAATCCGGTAGAATCCATGTTGCTTTGTGTATGCGCTTATGTAAGAATATGGGGCCACAGTATGACCAGTTTTTTGAAGGCACATAGGTTTGTGAATCTCTCACCATTTTCGTTCCTTTCTGCCAGCTCATGTCCTATAATGTGTTCATTATGGTAGACCCTGAGAATTCATCGTTCATTCACATAGTTATGGCTGATTAACACACTATATTGCATATTTAGTGTTTGAATTACATTTCAAGCGTTCAAAAATAAATATGCTCTATTACTTTTATGTCTGCTGTGTATGTGTGTATGACAATCTCTAGCTTATTTAAAGTTAGTTTAAGCACTCCAAATATCTGGAACTAGTACCTATTATCTTGAAAATAACAATCTCTAATAAATTCATCTTTTCCTTGATTATTTTTTTGATAATTCTGTACTTTACCAATGTCTAATGATTTTTTATTAGGTTCTGGTTTACTTAGTCCCTTACTTCACTCTAATCAACCTACTTATTATATAAGCTTTCAAGGTTGTTTCACACTGAAAATGACATAAACAAATCACTACAATTAAAAAAATGTTTTCTGTATTTCATCTTAAACTTGAAACAAACATTTATTTAAACCAAATTTGCCTTATCGTATTCTTTTATACCTTAATGAGAATAGTTTAGCTTAGGTATGGAAGATTTATCTTTCATTTTGATCGTTTAAATCAGCATTAATTCAAATCAAAATATCCGGTTTATCATTCCTGGCTTTCTAGTCAACGGGCTTTAGTTTATGCTGTAGATAATTTGTTGATTTCATACAACTGGTTCACTTCACAAAATATGAACCGAGCAAGAACGATAGTATTTACACAAACAGCTACATACAAGCTTATATGTTGAACTATTTCCAATTAACATCATAATATTCAATTTGATGAATGAATTTTCCATAATAAATTGTTTGTTTAGAATGTAACAGTTTGAATGTGGATCGTGCAAATGTAACGGAATACAATGAATTCATCGTATTTTGCATGTTTCATATCTATTGGTTATTTCATATTTTGAATTTCTTTGGTTGACCACATTAAGAAAGCTATTACAAACAAGTCATTGAACATTTAAGACTCTGTTTTAATCACATGATTTTAGAATGATCTAATTTTCTGGGTCATTTAAATTCAGCAGTTCAGTTTCGTTGTTCATTATGGTTTTTTTTAAAATCTGTCGAAAACTTGGTCATTTTCGATCTCCTGAATCTGTCTATACCGGTATTACATCAACGTAGTAGAGAAATAATTACTTGTTATTGTTTTTTCATTACGATTGATCATAAATTTGAAATAAAAAAACATGTGATACTGTAGAAAAACCAACAGAAAAAGTTTGTTACTATCACTTGAAAATTAGTAGCATTAAATATTCTTATGATGAACAAAGTACTATGCTCACTAGCGTTTAATTATCAACATTTAGCATTTTTACGAACTGACTATTTATATTATTGTGTCAAAATAAACATTGAAGTAATTCTGTGAACTGTTCTAGTCAATAGTACAACTTCTTATAAATTTAAATGGATTATTTTCTTTTTAAAGCAATAACATGAAAGTTGTATGCCATGCCTATACGTTTATCGTCATAATAATTTCATATGTGTTAATTCCGATTCAAAACTACATATTTTGTTAGTTTTAAAAGTTTCAAACTTCAACATACTCTTAGTTGACAATTTTTACCAAAAAGCTAATGATTAATAATAATATGTAATCCTGTTAAACATAATATCAAATTGGTATTAGCTTTGCCTTCCTGTTACTCTTCATTTTTTCTTTCTCTTTGTTTATGATTGTCCATAGAGATGCTCGCCTATGTGATTGTTATCAGGTTCAGCTGTGTCATCGATTAGATCAACCACTGAAATTAATTTTAGAACCAAAAGATATTGATCAACATTATATGAAAAAAGTATGTAAATATTTTTTAAAAATTGTTACTGCTCACCTATTGCTTTCATGTCATTTCACACTCAATGTATAGGTTAAAGCAAAAAAAATCATGATAAGTATACATTTAAATTATTAACCTGATAAGTAAAGATGATCAGTTTAGTAATGTAAAGTGTATGTATAAACCAACAGTTTATTCATTTTTTTTACTTATTATGATTAGTGTTAAACAATTTTAATTTGACTAAATACCACTACTACTACTACTAATAATAATAATAATAATAATAACAATGGAAGATGGTCAAGTGATCTACCTGATTGATTGAAGCTAGACTTCTATACCATTGAACATTCACTCCGTGGTCTAAGTGTTGGTCGTTCTTGTGTGAAAATGAATGTCGTGTTTTCAATCAGCGGTAGAGTGGTACTAGATATATATGCATATATTTTCAGGATTTGAAGGATATCTTTAAAGCAGTCATATGTTAATTTTCACTTGATCAATTAAGTGAATTATCAGATCAAAATTGACGAAGTCAACCGAAATTCTCTATTTTTAACTTGCTTTTTAATATTGTATGATCATAAAGTTATACTTATTGATACATTTCTACATATTTTGAATCTGTTTATACTAGACTTTTAGTGATACTGAGCAATTCAATCCTCAAAATTATTTCACAAATAATCGATCAATGCCTACAGAGTAAGTTTAGCCAGTATTAATAGAGGATTTTTATCTTTCACATTTCAATAGTCACATACAGTTAATATTTTTATGAATATGTTTTGACAGCATACATGCGCATTATTTTTTGTTTGACCATCTACGATTTTCTACTCATTCATTAGTGAAACTCATCAACAGACTCATAGAGAAACTTTTCCCTTCTTAACAACTCGCTTGGTTCTGAGTTCTCACGTTCTTTCTTCAGATGGTTTAATACGAACTTGCTATAATAATTGTTCTATAATTCCTGTTTATTCAGTTTATAAATAAATTCGAATCTATTGTCTGATAATTTTTAATTGATGGAGACTATTCACCAAACTTTTTATGTTTTCTACTGTTATGCATTACTTGTCTTCTCTATTCAATTTTTTTGACTATACTATTCAGTAAAGTATAACTATGAAAAATCACAATAAAATACTGATTCTTTGGGCTTTCATCAACAAAATCACAAACTCTTTAAGTCGGATACTAACACTCAAATGAATATAACCCCACCATACAATCAAAATCTAAATCATTATCCCAATATATATTTTCTCACTCAACTCCAAGTTATATTGGTTATTCAAGGGTTTTTATTAATTCATTAAAAAAATATCCTTTGGGGATATTCAATGTCACATTTAATGATTAAATCATACATTGAGATAGAAATGTACCGACATTGAGTTAGAAACTGTTCGTTCATACAATCATCTTGTCACTTATAGCTATCTCAATTTCTTCTTTTTGTATGTCTCGTTTTTATTTTTTCTTTATTTAGAGAAGATATATTCATCAGTTATAGTGTATTTCAAAATGCATTGGAAAAGTTTCGATCATGTACTGTGGAAAACTATGCACAAGTAATGTTATTTAATTTTCTCTTTCTGTATACTGTGCTCTTTCAATAAGTGTTGTGTAGATTTTTTGTTGTTTACAGTAAAAAACACATTGATCTACTTTCAAAATGCCATGCTATACAGCATTTGATTAATTACTTATCATAATAACTAATAACTAATAATAATAATAATAATAATATTCTTACTTGAAAATAATCAATCAATAGAAACGTAGAATTTCGTACGTACCTACGTACATCACTTCATGTTTCCATACTGCATTAGCACAGAGATGCACTTGTCACTTCGAATCCCGTAGTAGTAGAGGTAGTAAAAGTATTAGCAGTAATCGGAGAAATTAGGGTTCGAAGATATTATTCATGAAGTAGCATCTAGTGAAATAAACTCAGAAAGAAAAAGATAAAGTGATGAGGAATTCAGGTTTGCATTTGAGAGAATACAGAGAATAAATGCACCTGCCTCACTGCATACTGCCATACTGCATTATCATTCAAAGTCTGTAACCATCGGTGACTTTCGTCTCGCCTACCCGAACCAGGTAGTCTACATCTATTAACATGAATCAGTGCACTTGTCAGTGACTTTATGGATTTGTGCCATGTTTTGGTCTAACCACCCCTAGCTTTCTTCCAACCTACTCCTACATTGCAAAATATAGCTCGACGATGCAGTCGGTGGTTAGGCATACGCAATACTTGAAACTTACTTTATTGATATTAATTTTCTCAGTCACACAAACATTTTCAAGACTGTAGTGATCTGATGAGTGTTGGAATATTGATACAAATTATTAACTTTTATTGTACTTTTTTTTTTCTACTTCGAAATTATTAAATAATATAAACTGTCACGTTTTCCTAGATCAGACTTAACAATTCTATCATACACATTCTTTGGGTAAAGTGATTAGTTAATTACTTATATCGATAAATAATGCAAGGCAGTTTGAAGAAGAATCCGGTACCATTAAGCTGGTGATTACTATGGCTTACAAACAGTGTCAATCCAGACAATCAGTATTCTCTTAAATGTTATAAATGAGCACCAAAGACTTCATGAAAGTTTAAGTACATTAATTTAAAATCTCGTGTCAAGCATCGTGCATTTACTAAGTTGGAATCCAATTGTTCATGTTTTTTAAATCCACTCAGTTAACGATGTGAAATGAGCCTTATCCAACATCATCAGTGATAACCTTCTCACAAGTAACGTAATTCTGTGGGGACCAGCTGTATTTGATAGCAATTAGATCTATGTGTAATTCGAATGAGAGAAAGGAATATTGTCTGTTAAATTTTGAATCAACAAGATAAAACTGTCAGCTGTTTACGGAATGCATGTTTTATATCAACAGATTTTAAATAACTGCCTATATTCATGATTCACTGTAAATAACCGTCATAGTTGAAAAAAAAGTAACCGAGATCACAAAGACTAAATAATATATGCCATATGACTATAGCATATTTAAATAGCCTGATCGTTTCCCTAGTTTTAAAAAAATAGAAGTAGTTGAATGTTGTTTGATGTATTTTTCCTTGACAGATTGATTATCTGCTGTATGTTGTGTACTAATTAAGAGTTACCAACATAGTCTTTACCGTGAATAAATCATTTGGTTATGAATTATGGGAGTATAAATTCGTTTTTTAACCAATCTTAAATAACTGTTTTTATTTCACTTTAATTAACTGCACCACTTTGTATTGTTTCGACAATGACCAAATGGATAGATAGAAAGATCTCATCAACAAATAGCCCGACGTAAATATGTGTTGGTTGAAGTATACTATACCTGGCTAGTACGATAAGTTGAAAGTAACAAGTAACGGAAGAATTTGTAATATACTTACTTACTTACTTTCGCCTGTAACCCGCAATGGAGCATACGCCACCCACTAGTTTTCTCCAACCAACTCTACCCTGGGCTTCCCTTTCGGGTTCTGTTCAATGTTTGTTCATTCCTCTCATATCTTTCTCTATTTCTCGGCGTAATGTGTTCCTTGGCCTTCCTCTTTTCCTTTTGCCTTGAGGGTTCCATGTGAGGGCTTGTCTAGTGACGCAGTTGGGTGCTTTTCGTAGTGTATGTCCTATCCATTTCCACCGCTTCTTCCTGATTTCCTCCTCCATTGGAATCTGACTTGTTCTCTCCCACAGTTCGTTGTTGCTGATGGTGTCTGGCCAACGAATACGAAGTATTTTGCGTAGACAACTGTTAATAAATACTTGTATCTTCTGGATGATGGCTTTGGTAGTTCTCCATGTTTCCGCTCCATACAGTAGAACTGTCTTCACATTTGTATTGAAAATCCTTATTTTGGTGTTGATTGATATCTGTTTGGAGTTCCAGATATTTTTCAACTGTAGAAATGCAGCCCTTGCTTTGCCAATCCGCGCCCTCACATCTGCGTCCGATCCACCTTTCTCGTCGATGATGCTGCCAAGATATGTGAAGGTGTTAACGTCCTCCAAGGTATCTCCATCAAGCGTGATTCGGTTGGTGCATGTTGTGTTGCATCGGAGAATTTTACTTTTTCCTTTATGTATGTTGAGACCTACTGCTGCAGAGGCTGCTGCTACACTGGTCGTCTTCTCTTGCATTTGTTGTTGAGTGTGCGATAGAAGAGCCAGGTCATCTGCGAAGTCCAGATCGTCCAGCTGCGTCCTAACTGTCCAGTTGATACCGTGCTTCCCTCCAGATGTTGACGTCTTCATAATCCAGTCGATGACCAGGAGAAACAGAAAGGGTGAGAGTAAGCAACCTTGCCTGACACCGGTCTTCACCTCAAAAGAGTCTGTCAGCTGACCTCCGTGTACGATTTTGCAGTTGAATCCATCATAAGAATTCCGTATGATGTTGACTATTTTCTCAGGCACACCGTAGTGTCGAAGAAGCCTCCACAGTGTTTTCCTATCCACGCTATCGAATGCTTTCTCGTAGTCGATGAAGTTGATGTAGAGTGGTGAGTTCCATTCAATTGATTGTTCCACAATGATCCGTAATGTAGCAATTTGGTCAGTACACGATCGATCCTTACGAAATCCAGCCTGTTGATCTCGAAGTTGGGCGTCTACGAAGTCCTTCATTCTGTTTAACAATACTCTGTTGAAGACTTTGCCTGGTATTGAAAGAAGAGTGATGCCTCTGTAGTTTTCACACTTGCTGAGATCGCCTTTCTTTGGTATTTTGATCAGGTATCCTTCTTTCCAATCTGATGGTACTTGTTCCTCATCCCAAATCTTCTTGAAGAGAATGTGAAATATTTTCGCAGTTGCTTCCACATCTGCTTTCATTGCCTCTGCTGGAATGTTGTCTGGTCCTGCAGCTTTGCCGCTCTTGATTTGTCTGATGGCTATACTGATCTCCTCAATCGTAGGTGCGCCAATATTAATTGGGAGGTCCATGGATGCTGCTTCGATGTTGGGTGGGTTCAGTGGAGCTGGTCGATTCAATAGTTCCTTAAAGTGCTCCACCCACCTATTTCGCTGTTCGTCAGTGTTGCTGATTATTTTCCCTTCCTTGCTTTTCACTGGTCGTTCTGGTTTACGATAGTTTCCGGCGAGCTTCTTTGTAGTTTCGTACAATTGTCTCAAGTTTCCTTCTCTTGCAGCCTTTTCCGCCGTCATTGCTAGATAATCCACATATTTTCGTTTGTCAGCTCTGATGCTCTTCTTCACTTCCCTGTTTGCTTCTGTATACTCGGCTTGCGCCTTAACTTTCTCTGCTCTTGTTCGGCAGACATTGATAGCTGCCTTCTTGTTCCTCCTTTCTTGAATTTTTTCAAGAGTACCAACAGAGATCCATTCCTTGTGATGGTGCTTCTTGCGACCAAGGACCTCCTGACATGTTGAAGTGATTGCCTCCTTAATCCCTTTCCAATTGTTCTCCAATGTTGCTTCCTCTCCATTGAGTAGATCCTGAAAGGCCTGGAACCTATTGGTGGGGGCTATCTTGAATTCGTTGAGTTTCAAAAACACCACGATTTGTCTGATGGCTATACTGATCTCCTCAATCGTAGGTGCGCCAATATTAATTGGGAGGTCCATGGATGCTGCTTCGATGTTGGGTGGGTTCAGTGGAGCTGGTCGATTCAATAGTTCCTTAAAGTGCTCCACCCACCTATTTCGCTGTTCGTCAGTGTTGCTGATTATTTTCCCTTCCTTGCTTTTCACTGGTCGTTCTGGTTTACGATAGTTTCCGGCGAGCTTCTTTGTAGTTTCGTACAATTGTCTCAAGTTTCCTTCTCTTGCAGCCTTTTCCGCCGTCATTGCTAGATAATCCACATATTTTCGTTTGTCAGCTCTGATGCTCTTCTTCACTTCCCTGTTTGCTTCTGTATACTCGGCTTGCGCCTTAACTTTCTCTGCTCTTGTTCGGCAGACATTGATAGCTGCCTTCTTGTTCCTCCTTTCGTGAATTTTTTCAAGAGTACCAACAGAGATCCATTCCTTGTGATGGTGCTTCTTGCGACCAAGGACCTCCTGACATGTTGAAGTGATTGCCTCCTTAATCCCTTTCCAATTGTTCTCCAATGTTGCTTCCTCTCCATTGAGTAGATCCTGAAAGGCCTGGAACCTATTGGTGAGGGCTATCTTGAATTCGTTGAGTTTTACGGTATCCCGAAGAAAGGCCGTATTAAACTTCTGTTATGTTGTCTGCCCCGTTGTCCAGTGCTTCTTTAGCTTCAATCTCATTTTGGCGATCAGCAAGTGGTGATCTGAAGCTATATCAGCTCCTCTCTTGGTTCTCACATCCTCCATGGTCCTTCTGAACGTTTTATTGATACAGATATGGTCAATTTGGTTTTGAGTAGTGTGGTCCGGTGAAATCCATGTGGCTTTGTGAATGCGTTTGTGCGGGAATATTGTGCCACCGATGACCAGTTTGTTGAAGGCACACAGGTTTGCAAATCTCTCACCGTTTTCGTTCCTTTCTCCCAGTCCATGTCGTCCCATGATGTCTTCATATCCAGTGTTGTCCATTCCAACCTTGGCATTCAGGTCTCCCATAAGAATCGTCAAATCCTTTGGTGAACATTTATCGACGACTGACTGCAGCCTTTCGTAGAATTGATCTTTAACGTCGTCATTGTAGTCATTGGTAGGTGCATAACATTGGATGACGTTCATTGTAATGTCCTGTTTCTTTGTTTTGAAGGATGCTTTAATGATCCTTGGTCCATGAGATTCCCATCCTATCAGTGCCTTTTGTGCATGTTTGGACAGCATCAGTGCAACTCCTTGTGTATGTGAAGCGTTTTCCTCTTCATGACCAGAGTATAACGGCGGTTCCCCTGAAGCTAGTCTCAGTTGTCCTACCTGTGTCCAATGTGTTTCACTGATGCCGAGCACCTCGAGGTTGTATCTTTTCATTTCTGCCGCAACTTGAAATAGTCTTCCAGTCTCCCACAATGTACGAACGTTCCATGTACCTAAAAAAAATGGTTGCTCTGGTTGTCAGAAGAGGCATCGGCCCCGTGACTTCCGAGGGGACTCGGCTTTCATCACGAGACGTCATAATTCTTCTTCCAACTCCCAGGGCAGAGTTAAAATGGTTTGAATTATTTTTTCTGGTTAGCGTTTTTTTGGCAAGTTAGATTTCGACGGAATGGGGCCGCCAACCCCATGTCCAACCCTCCTCCTTTATCCGGGCTTGGGACCGGCAGTAGCCCCTAAGGTTCTACTGGCGGAGTTTTGTAATATACTAGCCACGATAATAAAAAGTGCTGAATATTATTAATATCTGATTTTAAAGTAGCCTAATTGAAAGGTGTGTGTACTATATCACGCAAATTCTGCAACTGCTGATTTTAGTTATCATGTTGACCTCAACTAAGTAGTCTGCATCCATAGACATCGCCCAAAATAATAGCCAGTCACATAATTGACTATTACCGTGTCTTAGTTTGTCAAGTTGTCAAGCTTTCTTCTTACGTGCATCTACACTAGAATACATTCCTTGTTGAGGTGGCTGGTGACTGAAGATACGTAAAACATATCTCGACCATCTCAGTTGATGTACGTTTACAACCTTGTCGACGTACGTATTATTTTTGTTTAGTACCCTGTGGTTCATTCGGTCATACATTTATACAAATATACAATCGACTACACATATCTCTCCATTTCATGAACTATTTTTCACACCCATTAAATTAAATGTTTATAAACTAGCCATTTATTTAATTATTTGTGTATGTAACGGTACAGATTCCAATCAGACCAAATGACAATGTAAACATTTATAAATAAACTTTGATACTCGAATTGATTCATTACGCACAACGAAAATAATCACCTTATACACAGACGTAATATTTTTATACAAGTTAACATACATTAAATATTTTGAAGTTTACAATGTTGCATATTCATGTTTAGTGTGTGTTTATGATGCATCAGATTTTTTTTTGTTAAGTGAGAGTATATATATATATATATGTATCACACACAGTTGAAATACGTGATTTTGGTTAATTTTTAGTTTGTACAAAGTACACAATTCATTGATTCAATTTTATCGTTAATAGTTTTATTAAAAGTTATGATCACAATGAAATAAATAGTCAATGGTTTATTGAAATGATGATTGTAATTACCTCACTTACAAATCATCATTGTTATTTGGCATAAATTATTGTGATGAGAATTTTTACGAAAACAATAGAATAAGAATTTACCATAGATTTTGCACATTTCATGATCTTAAGTAAACAAATACTTTTATTTTTAGATATTTTAATTTATTCAAAATGTCACTTTAAAGAGATATGTTTTGTTTTATTTCTTCATTGTTAGGCAGTAAATATTTTCAACTTTTTTCTAGCTTATCATAACCTGATAATTTAAATCATACATTTTAACAAATGTTCAAATGTTTAAAGTGTAGTACAAAGCAAAAAGGTCAATTCGTTTAATTAAGCATAAAGTTTAAATATGCGGTCAGTAGGATTCATTAAGCAGTCAAAGGTAATATAATCTGAAAATTGAAAATCTATAGCTTTGCTACACATCCAAAATCAACTCCCTAGACAACCATTATTGATCCATACTGATGATGACGTTTTATTTTTATTTGTTGGTAAAAGATACAGGACTTATGTATTTGACTATGAATCACAATACACGTTTACTTTGTTAATCTTATTAACTTGTTTAATCCGAAATGCAGCATTGGTTTTGTTTTAGTTATCTACACGTTGTTAACATCTTAGAGGTACTTTTTCCAAATTCTCATACTAAATTTCCTAGTCAAATGTTTGATAAATGTTGACAGACAAATACTATATGTTCAACTAGAGCAGATTTCAAACTAATAGTTTAAACTGTTTTTGTAACAAATGTAGCAAATTCTAAGTATTATTTTTGTTCGTTATTATCATATAGATTGATTGACAATATTGTTTCATACAGTGTTAATTGGAGATAAGAATTTTAATATTGATATCAATAGATTAGAACGTTAAACTAGGAAAGTGTAGAGGTTGCTAAGTCCTCAGAAATAATTACCTGGTAATACTCTTAATTTTGTAATTTATTTTTGGAAATTTAAATTTCTTAAGTTAAGACCGACCCTTATTACTCCTATTCGGAAAACCTTAAACCTCACTTGTTGGTTTTCTCTCTAAGCATTCTGTTTTGTAGCCCTTATAGTAACACTTTTTGGACTGTGTAAATTGCTCTTGAATCGAATGCTAATCTGTTTGTTTGCTTGGGGCTTACTGTGGATTATACACTCTTCCTGCTGATCTTGTACTTCTTGCTCTAGTTAGTTTACGTTCCTTCCTCTGATATCTAGGTGTATCTTAATTAGCGCAAATGTAACAGAAAATGTGGACGTCTTTTATCGTCTGACTATCGGTAGTTATGCTACAAATATTAATTTATGCTAAAAGAACTAATATCAACTACAAAGCCCTTTCGGAAAGGGTTCTTTTGTCCTTATCTAAAACTGTTAACCTGTTTATACATGTATAAATCTCACATGAAACCAAACAAACGATCTACATATCTTTGGATGGATACGTTACAATCCAACCACTGAGTTAAAACCCAATGATAGTTGTTATTATAGAGCCTAGAGGTTTTAAATGAGCTCTTACTTGGTGTAGTCAGTGTGCAGTGTTAGAAACGATTTTTTCAGTACATACTGATCTCCGATTGTACGCTAACTAATATTATTTTATGATGTTAAAAAAACTATCTTTTTCTTATTATTTATTAATTTCAAGGTGGACAGTGAATCATGGTTGAAAGAAGTTAACTGTGCTAGTTCAAGTTTATGTCAATCGGTAAAAGCTGTTGTAATGGCTGCATGTTATGGTATGGCTTTTTCTGATGTTATCAATGCATTAGGAAACGTACAAGTATGTATAATGGATATTATGTATGATATTGGTTTAAGTCATAAAGTAACCGCTTTGAAGCGTCACGATATTAAAAATTTTAACAGTCTCCGTACTGACAATCAACAGAATTCTACACAGGAAAAATTTTTTTCATCTTATAGACGAAAGCAGACAAGGGTGAGTACTTTCCGAAATTTGTTGTGCAATCAGATAATAATAGTTTTATTGTACAAAATGTTTGGTTTATATATTGATTTTTTATTCATTATACCTTGGTGTATTCAACACTTTATCAAAAGTTCTATTATATGTAATGGTAAATAATCGTTAAAGTCGATTAGTATAGAGACATCAATTATTCCATAATACTGCTAATTAACAAAATATATTGGCCAAATTGTCACTGGAGTTTTATGAAGCCATATAAATGAATATAATGTTAGTTGTTCAGTGGTCTACAATACTCTCTTCAGGATGAGATTTTTAACGTTACGTATTACTACTACTACTACTACTACTACTACTACTACTACCACCAGTGGAGTTCAAACCGTGTGAAGTGTGAGATATCGGAGTAAAGGTTGCGCAAGATGGTGAGTTCATTGAAGTTAGACATAAAAATCGTTTGATGCCGTCTTGGTACTACAAAGACTAATTATTTTGATGCATGGTAGGAGATCATGGTTCGATTCCAATGTTCAGCGTCTTGGATATGCAATTCTGCGGAATCTCACATTAGAAAATCCAGTGATTCCACAATTTCATTGATGGTTTAGCTAAGATCAGCTTACGATTCCTATGATGAACTAGATTCTGTTGTTTTTTAATGTTAGATAATTGAATCACCTTACAAATTCTGTGCTATCGATTTTGTATCACAATAACGAACTCATTGTGTGACACTTTTCGCAGATATGAACATAAGTTAGAAGTGCACTAGTCGGTCATATAATAGTAACCAAGATCCCATTATTTAGTTCAGGTGGTTATAGAGAGTTTAAAATCGCAGACAGACTTTGGTTAGATAACCATTAGAAACTACTTATGGGACTCAAAACTGTCAGACATCATAGAATATATTTATCTTTCAAACTGCTGGGTTGCAAAGGTTGTAGATTGTCAGTGCTCTGAAGTTTCATTCTAGGATGAAACACCTGCCCACTGATTCCTGGTTTTTAGGACCATTTTGTAATGTTAAATTACAAATACTCTGTAATCCGGTCATTGGTGATGATTGAATTATACCGATCAGACTTAGACGTGGTCATTGAATTGTCACTTGACATTTTAGTACATGTTAATTGATGTTCTAGAGAAAGTCATGGAATCAGGTGTAGTTCTTGTTTTATATCTGAAATATTCTTGTCTATCACTTTTGTAATTACTGGCTACCTCAAGATTTTATTGACATTTTTATGCAGTTGATTAATCCAAACCTATCTCTTTCGATTTCTTCTTATTTCAGACCTCTCCAGCACAGATAAGCAATCTTCAATCTACACCTAAAGATACAAATAAAACATATATCAATTTAAAATGTGATATAAAGTTACAGTCACGAAAAAAGCTAGATAATTTAATTTCATCATTGAATAAAAATCTTCTTTGTCAACTTAATGCATTTTTTATATGGCGTCAGCTCAATATATCAGTCAATCCTCAATTAATTTCCTATAATAATTTATTATCCAGTGATGTATCGGATGAATCGTTTAGTTATTTAACTGATAAACAATTTTATTGTACCAAAAAGGGACGTCCTAAAGCTATGCTCATAGCGGATGATGATGAGGATAACGTTTTCAATGATTTCCAACAGTGTAAGTTATGTTGATGTATGTATGTATGTATGTATGTGTTCGAACGGTGGGTGGGGGGGGGCGAATTAAAGTTGGTTTTCTGTTATTTCTGTATAATAAGATTTTATAAAAACTATTTAAAATAACCTTATTTTACAATAGATTCGATCTATTTTAACTTGAACTAAGGTCACTAATTTCAAATCTAGCTATAAGGCAACTTTCCAGCTATTTTTTAAATAGATATTCTTTGATCTGAATGGTTTCATTGTCTTTCTTGACGGTATCACTTGTACATATTCAAACAAAAAGTTAATTATTAGAATTTTTCCATTATGAACTGATAGCTTGTTCAGTTGACGTAGAATTCGGTTGCCTATTATGCATAGCTATTAGCCTGTTGTTTGCTTTGATTGTTTTCAGCTCTGATTTCGAAGTTGACTATCCTTTTCCTTATTGGTTGGTAGATGGAGTTGATTTCGATGTGTCTATTTATTAATGCTTGATCAATCTTCTAAAAAAATTTCTGGCTTTGTGTTTCTTCACTACACTCGATAACTGCCACTTTCCTTTTGTAGATCGATATGATGACAGCTTAATTTGAAAGTGATAGACCAGTATCGTGCTTTTTTGGAGTTCATTCGTTTCCTTAATCCAAATTTCGAATTTATCTTTCAAAAAGAGATTGAATATTTTGTAACTGGTTAATGCTTAAAGATTATATTTATGTACTTTCATAAGTTATATGTTCAAGAATGATTTCTTTATTCACGTTTAATTAATTATTGTATCTGATTTAAGAATATAATTTACTTAGTGTTAAAAATATCTCATGTTATCTAGTAATTTTCTATTTCACAAACAATAATATTTTCTCTAATTAATATTACCACATAAACTGATTTCTTTGTTTGCCTCTTCATTGATGTTATTTTTAGTTTGATAATTTTCTTGTGTCTCAAGATTATGTTTTGTCAATATGTACACAAAGTTTCTGTGTTTTAATTTCAACTTCTGTTTGGAATTGTAAATCTATGCTGAAAGTTTTTGTCTTCTCTAGTTTTATATGGGTTCATAGGTTATGAACGTTGAAGTTCTGTTCTATGTCAGTGCTCTTACTATGGTATTCGTATTGATTGTTGTTTTTATCTGAAGAAATCTTCGTTGATTGTAATTGACAAACTACAGTAGACTCAGTCAAACCAAGCTGTAATTAAATTCCAACAATTTAACAGTGAATAAATTTTAATCTGACTATAATTACGTAATGTCGCCAAAAAGGATTATTGATTGCACCTTGTCGAATTCTGATTGTTTTCCAAAAATTTGCCTTACAAAACCTAATCTACCGTTGTTTGATAAATATACAAGTCTATAGAAGAATAAAAGGTGAATTTTATCATAATACGATTCGCAAATCGCTTCGCTAAATTCTCATTTTTATTATTATTCAGTAATAAAAGGGCTTATTCATATAAAATGATCATTTTCACGTCTTCTGTTCATTAGTGAAGTTTCATCTTTGTTTTCGTTTACATAGCTGGACAGAAAAGTGAAGTGAGAAGTTCTATGGATTGTATCGATGCTATAGTCGTCGGATTGATTGCTATACACAATCCTCCACCACGTAAAACAATTGGAGCTTATAATTCAAATATGATTCATAACAATACAACTGGCAATTCATCTTTATCTAATGCATCATCTCCTAATCAAACTAATAATAATACATTATCAACAAGGTAAATTATTATCATTATTATTATACAAATTAATTAACTTGTTTAGTTTATAGAGATAGGAATTAGACTGCTTGTATTACTTTGACGATCTCAACTACTGATTATATTGATTTTATGTATCATGTATTATTTTCTATTGAATCGCTCAACATTTCTTCCATACAAAAGTGAATGTAATTTGTATTTGTTAAACGAAGGGATATTTATTAACATACTACTAATATTATGATGTGTTATTTGTTCCAAATCTATTTCAAATAGCTTGCATTCATCTAATTATCATCTTATTTATTCCTTCTCGTTGTATTCATGGGAAATGTAGTAGTTTCCTCAAATGCATGCATATATCAGACTTTACTTTGTACTATTTTGTAATTGGTTTATTAACTACATTGGTTCGTTTTTGGAATATTTGGAAAATGCTTTGGCAAGAACTTAATAATGATAAACAAATACTGTAACCATACTCTTTATCTGACATGAATTCAACATCAGTTTTTACCAAATCTGATGATTCAGTCAATAAGCTATCGGATGATTAATTTAAATACTAAACAATTTGTTTGCCCGATTGTTGGGGACGTTAGATCTCTAGAACTCACTTGGAAAAGGTCCCAATGTTGGATTTTTGTGTTTTCGCGCATAAGCTGCTCGGTCGACCTTGAGGTTACATTCCCCCCTCGGAAAATCCTTGACGTTCATTGGTTGGTGTATTGTTTTAGTACGCCATTTTTGTGGCGCTTTCAAGGACATTTCTATCATGTATAAATAAACTCGATTCGTGTGCTTAGCCATCTCGTATCTTCTGGTTGCTTGTCTTTTTCAAGACTTCTTGGTCTATTTAGCAGGGCCTGGGACAAACGGATTAGAATAGCCTATCGTATCACTGCATCATTTGTCTTCGCTCTCATTACCGAGTAAGGTGCACTCGTGGTCGTTTCAAACGTATCAGTTGACGAACATATCACTGATAGCAACTTTTATTAAAAAAAACATTAATTCGTATAAGTTGCTGTGTATTTGACTGTTGATCATGTTTATTTATTTGTAAAGTAGATGGACATTATTTATTTGACAATTCTTTACCATATTTTAATCTGCATACTTTCCAGAACAGATGGCTATTATTGTGTACGTCTTGGTTTAGTGTATGCTGGACGACCACTGGGCAAAGTGTATCCCAGTGAACTGACTACTAATTATGATAATATAAGTGGTAATCATTATAGATCATCACGCTATAAAAATCAATCGAAAGAAATCACCTGGCCTGACAATTGTGTATTACGTGACGATCAGAAGAAATGTGCTAGGGATTATTTCATCAGTGATCCTGGTCGTTTTCAGACAATTCAGTCTGGTTTTCCTAAAATGTTACAATTCGACCAATGGTTCAAATTTCCAAGTATGTCTACTTTTTAGTTAACTTGAAAAGTATGATTCCGAGACTGTTTTGTCCTATAAATCAGATATAATATTCAATCTTAAATTTCTTCGAGACTGTGAATCAAGTTTAACAAAGTGTAAAAATTTAAAACATTTTATTACTGTTCCTAAAACTCTCAATCAAACACAAATGTACATAAATAATTTGGTACCTGGTAAAGAGTCGATTCATTCACCTACCATGTGTTTTACCGTATGAAATCAATGGAACAACGATTTCTTAAGCTATAAAACTTTGTTTTTAATCAATTGGTTGTACACGTGAACGATTTTTTAAAAAAAATATTTCTACCATTTTTAATTGATCACACTTCTCATTGATCTAATATACTAAATTGTTTTAATGAATATCATGTCTCGTCATTTATTGAAGAATTTAACATGTATGAAAAACTTTTGTAATTACTCTGTCGATCAGTGGTATATCGTTTACACTTAGATTTCTTATTGTACTGAGAACTATGTAAACATGTAGATTGCAATTTTATGAGTTACAAACAACAAAGCACTAAGATACTGTTTCATTCAAATGCTAATTCAGAACTCAATTCTGATATTATTTGCAAATATCCTTATGAGTTGTTTGATTAAATGACTATTATCTGTTTTTTCTGAAATATACTATCTCTGACCGTTTGAATTCATTCCAATGAATCATGTAACTCTATTCACCTATATTAAAATAACTTGACTATCGTGTTATAATTTGATCAGACAACGGAACAAGTAGCAACTTAATTGTTAAAAACTGTAAATTATGAATTTGTGTAATGGATGGATATGAAATCTGTTCCAGTATGTTTTCTGGTAATTATTTTCACTTAACTCGCAGCAAATGTTATGTCAAGTAAATGGGAGCTATTCAACACTACTTCTGTTAGGTTTCACTGTACAAGTCAACCTTAATGTTAATTGACGTTTTATTAATAAAAAAAGTATCTTCATTTTTATATGTAAAACAATTTAAAAAAACACACCATCAAGTGAACAATTATTTTTGATGAGTTCTGTATCAAGTCATGCACTTTTAAATTCAACATATATCATTATGAATAAGCAAATTATATTGAAAGGCAGTACAAATTATAATCAATGGAAAGTAGTAAAAATTCAAGCTAAGAATGTGACAGTCGTAATGTGAAACAAGGTAAAACAGTAGCTGTAGAGTCTGATGAAGCAGTTATTGAAAATAATCGTTCGCTCTAATACACTTTTGTTCATTATATGCCTAGTAGAATGTGAAATATTCAGAGTATAAGATCGAGGAAAACTTCTCTTTCTCTCTCTCTCTCTTTGTACGTATTCCAAAATCTAGATGCATATTTATAAAATAAAATTAGAGTTTATAAAATTGAATAAGGATTTTTATTGATGGTAAATAAACTGCAATTTTATGAGCATTGGTTTTTGATTAGATTATCTTTACAACCTATTTGTTGGATAGTTTTTGTGCGAGATACAGTACACCAGAACTCCCGTACTTTCATTTATGTGTATCAGTTCTAGCGTGTTGGCGTCCTGTTATATGTGTAGATTTATGCTTAATGTAATGTCAGGTAAAAAAAACATCCTGCAATATTATTATTATTATTAGAAATGATATTAGAAAACAATGTTTACAGCAAGATAAACAACATTTGACCTTGACTTTATGACAGAATCTCCATCGGTAAAATATTATTCAATTTCAACAGTGTTTAGTTATATTTCTTATATAATTTTGTCATTATTGCTTAGTGTACTCTATTTTGTACAATAATTATTCATAGATAATCTAGCTTAGATCTGGTTGTATTGAAATCAATGAAACGTATACTGGTGGTTTGCTGTTGATTACGATCTTCATTCATCCTATACTTTCATTATTCAAAAGCTATTTTATGAAATTGTTTTCTAAAAACCCATCATGTTTAATGATTTTGCATATCGAATCACATGTGTATTTCACCTGACTCATTGTTTCACTTTGCAAACTTGTAAATACATTTACACACACACACACACACACACACATAGAGACCGTAACCAGTAACAATGTATTATTCTCTTTTCATAATGCAGTGTATTTTTTTTATCATGAGAGTTTGTTTATTTGTCATGAATAGTCGAATCTGTATTTTCTTTCAAAAAATCTTTTTTATAATAATTGTGAAATTTTATGTCATCTGTTCATAACTAATTCATTCCGATTGGATTTAAATCGTTGTTGATGTTTTCCATTGTGACTGTCAATTGATTCACTAACTACATTTTGTTGTATTAATGAAGTTATCGATAGGTTCAGTATGACCTCAGATCTTTCTAACATGAAATATTATGAATTTTATTTTATTTTTTTAAAACTAATTATGTTACGCGAACACTGATTCATAATACTATTCCAACAGTCTTTTCATTGATACGAATTTCAGTTCGAATAAGTGTTGTTTACGATTACTAACAAATAAAACAATCTTGATCAAAATTACTATCATTTATACCATGATAAAGTCACCAATGGTTATAGACTTTGAACGACATGGCTCAGAATCGTCTGCAATGACACAGGTGCATCCACTCTTTGTGTGCTTTTTAATTCTAACCTTCTGAATTTCTCATAATCTCTATCTTTCTCCTTCTAAATTTGTCTCACTGAATTATACTTTTCGAATAATATCTTTGCTCCCTAATCTTCTCCATTACTGCTAATAATTCTACTATCACTATCACTCTTGGATTTGAACTGACAGTTACGTCTCTGTGCTGATGTGGTATGGCAACCTGAACTGATGTACTTATGTACGATGTTCTGCGTTGTATCTATCTGTCTGATAAATTTTTAAATTATATGAATTACATATGAACATTTATGTAATACGTAAACAGTTTTGCTTGATTTGATGAGTTGGATAAATTTTTTTTTTAATATCTCCATTGGCACAGGTTTTACGATTAATCAACTTCCAAGAGAAGCAATGCTGGCTATCAGTTTATTTTCGTGTAAGAAATTAAATCCGGACACTATTGATGGTTAGTTGATGATATTAATGAGACTGGAAAAAATAAATAACATTCATATGATGACATTTTATATTCAGATGAAATTATCTGTTGTACATTTTACGAAATTAGATAAAATATGGTTTGTGATACCTATTGGTCTAAAGGTATATATGGCTTGTCATGAGATCTGGAGACGATTCAACAAGTTAGTTATAGTGTCCACAAATGCGTAGGGGAGAACAGCTATTTTTGTTATAAATTTTACTTCTTCATTGCAAATTAATAAGATAACTGATTTCTTGAGTCTATTTTCATGAGTATTAACACTAATGTATGTTGCTTCGCCTTGTTATACTCAAATTGTCCTACCTCAATCATGCACATTCGAAAATTGAATAAAAATAACCGATTTACCGAGTTTATTACGAGTAAATGCTAGGACCTATTCTATTCCTTACAATTCAACCAGATGAATGACAAAATAATTGTTTACTTGTTTGATTTTGACATCATATTTCATTTGCCAAGTATTGACTACATATCGGTCTAATTTGGAAATGATATTTACCACATTCGAATTAACTGAATGATTGGTTACAATGAAGCTTAAGGATTTCTAGTTCAGTATTGTATAATTTCAAGGATTAAAGTGGTTCACCAATCTCGTAGTAGTAGTAGTAGTAGTAGTAGTAGTAGTAGTAGTAGTAGTAGTAGTAGTGGTAGATAGAAGTGAATTGACACTGCTCTTTGTGACCCTGTTGCTTAGTTGATATCTGTGTATGGTAAAGCTGCTTCGAGGTTGTTCTGTTCCTCGCAACACACATCAGTTACTGATTTTCAGTAGTTTACGCTCTTAAACCGGTGTGTCTTTTGTTTTCTCGTTATGTAAATGAAAGTTATTAGTGATAGCTGACAGTAGACCGTAAATCACATGATATCTAATTGTTTAGATTAAACATACAGGCATAGAATTTCAAATTATTTTTCAACTTAAATATATATATGATATTTTGTTCAAGTGTTTTTAACTCAAACATTTAGTATCATCGTTTAGAATTTGATTTACCTAGGATTTTAGTGAAGACTGCAACAACAGTTAAATGAAAAATATCTTCATTGTAACAGATAAACATACTTTTGTAGATTGATTCAATTTCTAATTGAATATAATAATGACCTATAGAAAATTAATCTCTATTACAGTTGATGGAACGTTAATTGGTTGGGTGAATGTACCTTTATTTGATATAAATGGTCGATTAAAACAAAACACCATGATTGTTGGTCTTTGGCCACCATCGGAATTTATGCATGAATATCGGCCTACATGGTCTCAGTCAAATAATTCCCCTGGATGTCCAGTTGTACAGGTAAAGTGTTTTCAATATTATTACATTTTTAGTTATCTAATCTTATTTCATGAACTCAGGAAATTTAATTTATCTTTGCTTGTGTAGTTTGTCACATGCAAGCTGATTCAGTTATTTGTCACTGAAACAAATCATTGTGTTGCATTAAAATTTTTATTTAAATGATCTGCCACATTGCATTTTCATTGATGTATACAATTGTTTATTGATTATTTCATTATAATAGCTTTGTTTCCCTGAATATCAATACGAAATTGAATTCCCTATTATTATCCAATCAGAAAGTGAATTAAAGAACTCTGATAAAATGTAAGTTGTGAATATTTATCCATTCAATTTAGCTTAACGTGTCCTGTTCACTGAATAAAGCTAAATTATATTCCTTCAGTAAATTTACTTCAGGCAAAAAACGTACTTTGTTTTAGTGCATAAAAATAATAATTGTTATTATTTTGTCGATCCGTCCATATGCTATTGACATTGTTTCTCATTCCATTTCTGAAACGAGTACTTTACAATTCGAAAATGTCACATTCGACCATAAATTTTTAATTTTTGATTCTTGTGGCCAAATTTTCAGAAAAAAAAGTATTTCTAAAGTACTGTCGGTATTTGTTTTTTTATCAGTTCATTTTTATTGATTTATATTTTTTAATGTTTGTTGAATAGTATTGTTTGAATTCAGGACACTTTCTGTTATTGGGACATAGATGATTGCGTTAGCTGCGCACTGATTGGCTAATCTCCTATCCAATCAGCGCCTGATCGACTCTTGGAAACAGGGTAGAAAATACTCGTGTTGTTAGCTGCATTCTGATTGGCTAAATCTAATCCAGTCAATCACGTGAATTACTATCCAGAAGCTTCTCATGTAAATACTACAAACAAACTAACGTTGTATCTATTTTTGCCATCGCCTTCGCCATCACCTTTGGCTTCTTATTTCCATTTAACCTTGTTATTTGGAATATAATCTTTTCCTGTTCCATCGTCTTTTTGATTCTTTGGAACTTGTCCAGTGTATTGTGGTCAGAGAATACTAAGCAATAGGAATTAGCTGGGAATTATTTAAGCAAGCGTTACAACACTTTCACTAGCGAATAATCATGTTATTCTATCTGGATAAGTAAATGCTCAAAAAAATAAATAAAGTTTAGTGTACACATTGTTATATTCAGCGTATTTTTCTTTATAGTTTTTAGGTGACGTATTATGATAAATTTAGTTAAGTGTTTTGTCATAGTTTATAACTTGTCAGTATTCACGATGTCATACGGAGGGAGATTGGATGGCAAGAGCTTCAAATTTCGCTTTACCTCTGATATCTTTGAATCCAGTGGCACACAACTACATCAGCTTCACTTAGACTGTATATTGTTTGTTCTGCATCTAGTGTTTTGGTGTTGTGTATTACTGAAAAATACAAAATTAACTAGAGAGAAAGAGAGCTCTCAAGTTTTTAGTAATAGCTTTTAAGTCATGTTGTAAAATCGTATTGATCAAATCATATATGAAAATAGTTTTTTTTTCTTTGCTATTGATTTTCCAGACCATTTTCATCGTTTCATTCACTTTGTTCCAATGCAAAACAATCGATTAATGAAGCAAAATCTGCTATATTCATGCAAATATTAAATCCTGAATTATCATACAAATCTATCGATGCATGTTTAATGGCTTATTGTGCAGCTTCATCATCAGTCAGTCGATCTAAACAACAAGAACATGTTCCAATCCCGGTGTTACAGTTAACTGTACTGAATTCCATGAATTCATCTTTGAATCAAAATAATTTAAAAATGATTAGCAATAGTAGTTGTAATGGTAATGTAAATAATATCGGTAGTGGATCTAGTGGAAACAATTCTAGTTCTGTTACAATGAATAATATAAGTAGCAGTAATAATAATAATAATAACAATAATAGCAATAATACTAATAGTTCTAATACTATTAATAACAATAATAATATGATGAATAATTTATCAACATGTCATATCAGTTCGATTGCTTGTTATCTACCTTGTCCACCAGCAATTGCTATTGAAGTTTTATGGAATTTACGTTATTCTATATGTGATGTACCAGATGCAATGATTGCATTGATTATTAGTTGTTTAGTTAATTGGCCACAAACAACAAGACAACATTCGAAAATTGATACCAATAAATGGTGTTGGCAAAAATTATTGGAAGAAATTTACAGGTGTTTGATTAGAATTTATTTTATTAATTATAATTGATATGTATTTTTAGATATTGTGGTTTATGAAACTTTAATATATAATATAAAATAATACCGTTCGTGCTGTTTAGTAATAGTCATGTAATTCATACTCTTTCTTCCTCATCAGTGGTTGGGACACATGTTACGTATGCGTAACCACCGACTACCCAGACAAGCGATATTTTGTGATGTAGGAGTAGATTGAAAGAGAGCTAGGAGTGGCCAGACCAAAACATGGCACACATCCATGAAGTCATCGACAACTGGACTGAGCCATGTTAGTAGGTGTAGACTAACAGGTTGGGTTCGGCGAGACAATGGTAACTGATGGTTACAGACTTTTGATTGACATGGTTCAAAATCGTTTGCAATGGCGCAGTTGCATCCACTGTTTGTGTTCTCTCAAATTTCGATCTTCTGAATTCCTCATCACTTTTATCTTTCTCTTTTCAAATTTATTTCACTGGATTAGACTTCTTCAGTAGTATCGTCGAACCTTAATCTTCCCCACTACTGTTAATGCTGTTACATGTATTATTATACTATTACTATAGTACTATAGTATTTGAACTGACGATTCGATCGATTTCTGTGCTAATGTGTTATGGTAACTTGAACTTATGTACGTATGTACGAATTCTATGTTGTAGTTGCCTGACTGATGCTTATTTTTTAATCAATTATTAGTGAAATCGATTCTTGGTTGATATAGCTTCACACACTTCAATTTGGATATTTCAAACCTAGTTATCTTTGATGCAGTTCATTGTATTCCATGTACTATATGTTATTAATTCAGTTTTTCATTTTAACTATTCTTAAAATGTTTATCGAAAACCATTGTATATTTTCAGTCTGAAAAATCAAATTTAACAAATCATCAAACTGGCGATCCGAACTTATTCTTACTCAATGACACTATTTATTTGCTCGTCCTAAAGTTATTTACTGCCTTTCTCGTTTCTTTCTTCCTTTAGGGTTCCAGGTGAGGTCTTGCCTTGTGATTCAGTTAGGTGCTTTCCTTAATGTTTGTCCTATCCACTTCGAGAGCTTTTTCCTGAGTTTTTTCTCCGTTAGAATCTGGTTTGTTCTCTCCCACAATAGTGTGGTGTCTGGCCAACGGATCCGAGGTATTTTGCGTAGATAACTGTTATTAAATACTAGTGTCTTTTGGATGATGGCTTTCGTAGTTCTCCAAGTCTCTGCTCTATACAGTAGAACAACTGTTTTGACATTTGAATTGAAAATTCTCACTTTGGTGTTTGTTGACAGTTGTTTTGAGTTCCAGATGTTGTTCAATCGTAGAAATGCAACCCTTGCCTTATTGTTCAACGGCTTCACATTAGCATCAGGTCCACTTTGCTCGTCAGCGATGCTGCCAAGATATATAAAGGTGTTAACGTCCTCCAAGGCGTGTCCATCAAGAGTGATTTGGTTGGCGCATGTTGTGTTGTATCGGATAATCTTGCTTTTCCCTATGTGTATGTTGAGACCTGCCGCTAGCCTGTATATTGATTATGGCTAATTGATGCAGATTTGACTGTACTATCCATTTTCTGTCCAATCATTAAGAAATATATTGAGTTTTCATATTATTGTTATATGCAACTATTTGCAACTTCATTTAAGTGAAGTTCTTCAATCCTAACCTCCTTTAAATCTATAAGAATTAGTTGATTGGCTTTGACATTTTTGATTGGACTACCATGTCTGAATATTTTGAACATTATAATAAATAAAAATCATCTACTTGACTTCTATGTTGTGAATTTTCATTAGAAGATATTCATATCATTCCTTTAGTGATGCATGACCAAAAAATTTAATTCATTATAAAACTGATATTTAATTCAGATACTAATATTAATTTATTGCTTTAGTCTTTTAACAGTCACACCAGTTCCATATCCTGGTCTCATTCTACGTTTACTTTCATCGGATGTTGCAGATCAAGGTATACGTCATTGGGCCACTAGAGCATTATCATTACTGTCATCCGATAATCTTCTTTTATACCTTCCCCAAATAATTGAGGTATTGTTTTTTATTCTACTTTCTTTTGTTGTTGTATTATTATTAACAAATTCATTTAGTTTTTTTTTCGATGTTATTTCCGATTATCGATATTTATTGGATAGTCTGTGTTAAATAATGTAATATATTGCATTACCAATGATAAGTTGTGATTACGTATTACACTTTTTACGCTTATTTAATAAAAATAATGATAAATGTTTTTCATGAAACTTACAAAATCCACTATGATCAATGTTAATATTCGTTTAAAATACAACCTATTCTTGCATTGACTCAGTATTTAGTTGTTGTTAATTTCAATAGTTAAACACTCAGATAATTTATTTTGTGTTACTAATTTCGATGGATTAAACAACACCAGTGAACTATTTCCGATCGATGTCGAATTTATTTGCACTCACAAAAAGCGATTGGTTAAAGTGTTATATAATTGTAACTGATTCATTTGTTTATTTAACCTTTATATCTATTCGGTGCACAAATCTCTCTCAGAAGACCAACCAAAATTAACCAATAAGAACAAAAACATATAATAGACATCTTACAATTTAATAATTTTCACATGAATATTATAAAAAATATAATTCAACGAACTGATCCATTGCTAAATGATGCTTTGAATGAAACACCATGCATAAATACCGTAGTTTTACTGCAACGCCATGGTACAATAGAAGATCGCCAAAGAGTCTTAACACAATACGGAATTGAAGCATACTGTTTGGGGTCTCCAGAACTCATTTAAAAATGGTCCTGATTTAGTAATTTTATTCTAAAATTTTCAATTTCCATGTTTTAGCGCCAGTGATACTAAGTTAACCTTTAGCTTACATTTCTCACTCGGAAAATCCTTGACTGTCACTGGTTGATGGGTTATTTTAGTACGTTATTTTGTGGCTCTCCCAAGGGCGTTCCTATCATTGTATAAATAATCTTGATATGTGTGCTTAGCAACCTCGAATTTTCTGGTTGCTTGTAGAATACATTCTCTACTGCTCATCAGGACTTCTTGATCTAGTTAACCGGGCCTGGGACAAACGGATTATAATAGCCTATCGTGTCACTGTATCGTTGATCGTCGTTCCGTTTACCGAGAAAGCTGAACTCGTAATAGTTTTGAGCATATCAGTCGGTGAGCATGTCGCATATTTCAAAACAACTTACACTCTTCATAACGCTTTGATTCATATTAAGGATAAGATACATTTTATATCAGCTCAGAACTGTGGCTACATATCAGAGTGTGTCAATCGTGACACCTCTGCTGGAGAGTCATCCAATGAAATCTGGACTCAAGCCAAAAAATCATCTGAGATACCCAAAGATTCCTACCTAATAATCCTGTATTACTTGATAAACTCATACTGACAATAGCAGTGAATCCCATCTTCAATAACTTTCGACATTCAAAACATCAAAATATTACAAACAGGCTTTTGCCAGCTACTAAGGCTATTAGTTGAAGCTTTTCATATAAACTGCTCTCAATAGTAAGAAGGCTTTACTATACATTCAACTTGGGCCGTCTGTCCAAGCTACCATTTCTAATTCTTTTCACATCTGACACCATCACCATACATACATACATATTCATCTCTATCATTTCATATTTTCACACCCAGTCACATTTATCGGAATGACCTAACATTATTTTGGTCGGATCTTTTTTTCATGATTGATTGACTGTACTATTTAAGCTTGAATTAATTTCATTTGTTAATCAATTCTATGAAGAAGTGATCTACACTGAGTCACAAAACGTTAGAGATAGTTCGAGTTTCCTACCCATTGGGATGCTACAAATACATTAAATTATTTTTATGATCATGAAAATGTTTATTTATTCCCATCAATTGTGTATACATCTTAAATGGGTTGCTCGTATATCCTGGGACACCCGATTGAGCAACGCTGTTATTAGGAAACGGGTGCTAGGTAATAATGGCAGATCAATAGATGAAGTGGTGAAACTTCATCAATTGAGGTGGTTAGGACATGTGCTGCGTATGCTTAACCACCGACTGCCTCAACGAACTTTGTTTTGTAGTGTAGTAATAGGTTGTGGGAAAGTTAGGGGCGGCCAAACCAAAACATGGCAAAAATGCATGAAGTCACTGACAAGTGGACTGAGTCATATCGGTAATTGTCGACTACCTGGTTGGGGTCCACGAGATGATAATAATCGATGGTTAGAGACCTTGAATGACATGGCTCAAAACCGTTTGCAATGGCGCCGGTGCATTTATTCTTTGTGTTCTCTCAAATCCTAATCTTCTGGATTCTTCAACACTTTTAGTTTTGTCTTTCTAAACGTATCTCATTGAATCATACTTCCTGAATAATATCTTCTAATCCTAACCTCTCCGATTACTTCTGATACCTTTACTACCTGTTCTACTGTTGGATTTGAATTGACAATTATATCTCTGTTCTGATGTGGTATGGCGACATGCACTGTACTTATGTACGAAGTTCTACGTTGCATCTGACTGACTGACTGACTGACATCTTAAATGGGATTGTAGAAGTCAAATTAATTAACTTATTCGGCGAATATATGTATTCCTAGTTTTTGACATTTATGGCATTGATCGACAAGTTAGTTCAGTTAGCCTGTGTTGTTGAATAAGTCTTCGGATTGTGCAAAGTCGATTCATTAAAATCTGATATTATTACTCTTTCCTTAGGTGCTTAGCATTTATTAAGTGAGTTTCTAGGTATAGTTTTTATCAAACTTGATTATGTATACATTTTAGTATTTAAAATTGACACGGTTACGAGTAAATCATATTTATTTGCAATAAAGTTGCACTTTAATCAATTAAATTCATGTTGTTGAGTAATACTGACTAACACTTAATACTCTTTTATGATTACATCATCATGGTTTCATTCTTTGTAGACTTTTTTTTAGTGAACTTCAACCAAATTATTTATCCGTTTAATCGATATTAATGGGCGTAAAGTATTTTATTAATCTAAATAAATTATAATCACGTTAATTACTTTTCATTGATTATTCTTGTTCTTTTTTTATTTATTTCGATTTATCAACAACAATAGATTGTATCGATTGATTTTCTAATTAAAGATAGGATTTTATGTTTTCTTCATGTGGACATTACTTTCTTCGTTGTTTTGAATTTTAGGCTATCAATCATGATTTATACCTTGATTATTCTGGTTTAGTAAGTTTAATCTTACATAGAGCTGCCTTTTCAATGAGATTCGCTAATGCTTTATATTGGTAAGTTATAAATGATGAGAATTAATATAATCTGATACTTTATGTAAACTGTATAGTTGATATAGTGTACACAAATGGTAAATTAAATGAGCTCTATCGATGTAATTAAATTGAATATCAACTAGAATAACAATCACATTGAAAAATCACTAAACTGTATTAAGTTTGAAATTTTTGGTTTAACTGAACTTAAATAATTTACAAAATAACGAGGCATTGGTTATGATAAAACATGTATTTCTCTAAGGCTATTGTGAATAATAATTTAATTCAATCAGCAAATTTATAATTCATAATTATTCATATTTTTAAGACATTGCTTATGGCAATTACATCAAAATGAAAACATGCCGAATTTAGTTAAATAACTGGTCAGGAATGTTGATCATCATTTCCAATTTCTTGAAATATCTTTCTAAAGCCGGTAAAAAAGTGGAAATTATTTCGACTTATCATTATGTTTCAGAAAATGCTAAGAAATATCTAGAAACTGATCGATTATGGTTTCTAAATTTGAATAGATGGTTACCACATATTTCGCTGGCTTTAATATCTTTTATGGAAACGTCCAGGAAATCGAAATCCGAAACAATTACACATGTTTATTTTTTTTTTACATAAACGTTCTGAGTACAATTCATTTGTTTTTGTCGTTTGAATACTCTTGTTGATGGTTATGACTGCAATCGATCACTGGTTATCGGAAATCAGTAGCTTAGTGTATAACGTGGTAGTGTTTGAAGTGAACAGTACTGGGTCGTAGCCTTAAAGTAAACATCAATTCCGGTCTGCGGGTACAACCAATTAGTGAGTCACAAGTATGACGAAGTAGGTCTCGTAGGTTCTACTGCTAGCTCTATCCACTGTATCCAAGTTCAAATTTTGTCATATTTTCTACCTTTTGTTTTCCGTCTGGATTTCAAGAATCAACAAAGAGTGAGTCTTAAAAAGAGGCAAATTAGCCTATATCAGAAGCATTTGATATACCAGACAAAATAAGTAGAAGAAATCACGCTTCCCATATCTGTATCGTTATGTTGAAGCAAATACCTTTTTATTAGCTAGTTCAATACTGTGTAACAAGTTAAATGTGTTGATACTTATTCAGCACATCTAAGATTGTCTTCTCTTTTATACAGTTTCACTGCATCTTAATATATGGTCAGTTTTTATTTTAAAGATTCCACTGACAGAATGCACTCCTCCAGCCACCTTAAGCAACAATGCGAGCATGTTTGGTATGCAATTCTGTTCGTTCAAATGCAGAACGTTGCTTCAGGATCGGCTTAGGCCAGCGCCTGAACTAGTGGTGATGAATGAAGTAGTTGGGCGTATCGACCGCCTCACTTTGCAGTCACATCAGCCTTGATGGTCTATTGAAATCCTAGAATACGTACAAAAGGCTTGATTGGCTTTCGCCATCTTGCATCACTTGTGAGGTGAGGGAGACCTTCGTCTATTAGTTGAACTTTTGAACGGAGTCATGTTAATAGGTGAGATAATAGGCGTGATAATCGTAACTAGCGATTAGAATTTTTAAGAGACGTAGCTTAAAATCAATTCCAATTGTGCAGGTGCATCCATTCGTTGTCTTCCTTCAAAATTTAAGCCTCTCAATTTCTGATCGTTTCTTTTGGGTTTTTTTCACTGGCTTATATTTTTTTGCGTCGTATCTTTGATGCTTAAACTTCCTCCTTACCACTTATACTATCGCTACTCTCTACTACTCTGGCATTTGTTCTGACAGTTTGATTTCTGTATGTCAGCTTGAATTGATATACGTACGTACCAAGTTCTACGTTTTTACTGACTGACTCACATATTTTGAATTTATGACTAGTTTCATGAAAATACTCATTAAAAATGACTCACCTCACTCATCAATAAATCGGACTGATTTTTATGAACTAAAAACTGTCACAGAGTTACTTCTGCTACATCTATATCCGTTTCTTTAATTTAGCTTGTCTGTGCTAACTTGAGCAGACTACATATTTTATTGACTATGACTATTATGTGTTTAAATAAAATCACCAATGGATGATGAGTTTTGTAGGCTTTTTATTATTCATTTTCACTCAACTAGATGTGAGAATTTGGGCAAGATAATGCAAATGCTTTCTTATTGATCAAACACTATTTTACAGTTTCTACTAGCAAGTTAAGTTCTTCCCTGACAAACTGATGATAATTCAAAGTGATGGACATAAAAACAAAGGAAATGACCAGAGTTTTTACATAGAGGAGGTAGTATGGTTCATCTATTTCAGTCTTTTCTGTAAAGTGAAACAAAATTGTATTCCCTTAGGTTACAAAACACGCACACTGAATGAACACTAGTTATCTGTGTTGGCCTTATTAACTAATTATTTTATCAATAATTTTCTTTTCTTTTCATAAAACTATTTCAAGGTATCTTTATCCAATGCTACATCATAATCAATCCATGTCTGAATGGAAATTACAACGTTTTCGTTTTATTCAATCTGCTCTTTATTGGAATGCTGATTGTAGACTACAGTCTATGTGGAAACGTCAAGAAGAAATGATTCAACACTTGTCTGTAACTGGTAAATTATTATTATGATTATTATGATTATATTTGATTTATTGACTGGTTGTTTTTTTTCTTGTCTTGCAATTAAACATTTTACAATTGCTATTTATCATAAATTTGTCTATCAATTAAATAATATTCTGTTATCTCTGATCTCCATTTTTCTAATAAATTCTTTTATTGATGATCGTGATGAACCATTCAATATTATTTAGTATCACCTTCACATTTTCTTAAATTGTGTATATATATATATATATATATATATATATATATAGTATGTACAAATGGTCACGTGTTTCTTGTGTTTTGTTTTTGTTTGCAATGATATAATACGTAAACAAAAACTGGATAGTCTCAGCTTTTTGTTCATAATTTTAACATGAAATAAACGTAAATAATTGTTTATCATGATACCAATGGACGTTGTTTTCTTTATATCTTTCCCAATAATGTTCTTCAATAATCCGAAATATTATTCAAACATTTATGTGAATAGTTATATTTATTTTAAATATAATTCAGAAACAAAATGTAATTGTTGAAATTTACCAACTGCGGATGAGTTTACAAGCAGAATTTATTTTTCATCCAATCATTAACACTGTATGAAATAGTCCTACTTGGTGAAGACGCTGACAAAATGCAGTCTTCTGACCACCCTAAGCAACAATGCAAGCATGTTCGGGATTCGGTTCTCACATTCGAAATGCAAAATGTTGCTTCAGGATCGGCTTGTATCGGCATCTGAACTAGTGATAGGGAGTGAAGTAGTCGAAGGTGTAGACCGCTTCACTTATCTTGGGAGTCTCATCAGTGCTGATGGCCTGGTGACTAACAAAATCACAGCACGGATACAGAAAGCTCGTTTGGCTCTTGCCAACATGCATCACCTATGGCGCAGGCTAGATATCCGTTTGCTCACTGAAGGGCGAGTGTACTGCGCAGTAGTTCGCCCCGTCCTACTACACGGATGCGAAACATGGCCAGAGAGAGTAAAGGACATTCGTAGGTTACTAGTATTCGATTGTCGATGTCTCCGAAGCATTGCTCGTAGATCATGGGACAACCGTAAAAGCAATGCTATCGTTAGGAAACGAGTACTGGATAAGGAAGGCAGATCAGTAGATGAAGTGGTGAAACTTCATCAGTTGAGGTGGTTAGGACATGTGCTGCGTATGCTTAACCACCGACTGCCTCAACGAACTTTGTTTTGTAGTGTAGTAATAGGTTGTGGGAAAGTTAGGGGCGGCCAAACCAAAACATGGCAAAAATGCATGAAGTCACTGACAAGTGGACTGAGTCATATCGGTAATTGTCGACTACCTGGTTGGGGTCCACGAGATGATAATAATCGATGGTTAGAGACCTTGAATGACATGGCTCAAAACCGTTTGCAATGGCGCCGGTGCATTTATTCTTTGTGTTCTCTCAAATCCTAATCTTCTGGATTCTTCAACACTTTTAGTTTTGTCTTTCTAAACGTATCTCACTGAATCATACTTCCTGAATAATATCTTCTAATCCTAACCTCTCCGATTACTTCTGATACCTTTACTACCTGTTCTACTGTTGGATTTGAATTGACAATTATATCTCTGTTCTGATGTGGTATGGCGACATGCACTGTACTTATGTACGAAGTTCTACGTTGCATCTGACTGACTGACTAACACTGTATATTTATAATGATTATGTTTTACTAATACCGGTTGATTGAATTTTGTTCGTTTGAGTTATCCTTCTTTAATTAGACGTTAAGGTGTAATATATACACATTTACCAGTAATAAAATAGTTAAATAAATTTTGTGTAGAATGTCTAATGATTTTCTTGTGATTTCATTGATTTTTTTTTAACGTTTCTTTTTTTCAAATATACTTTTTTTTCACCTCTTTATTATGCTGCAATCAGCTACAAAAGTTAAACAAGCTCGACCAAATGCTTCCGTTCGTGAAGACATCCTTTATACACGTTTAAAACAAATGATGTCTGAACTGTCAACAGATTATTATCATATTTTATCAACAGCATCAACGGAAAAAGAAGTATCAGGCAGAAATTCTTTAACGTTTCAATCGACCTCTTGGGCAGATGATCAATTCATCACTGATTTACAAAAACAGGATTCTCAAAGTTCATCAAACAAATCTACCGATAATATTCAATGTGACCATGAACTATCTCAATATGATCTTGGTTTAAGAATGCCATATAATCCTGGATTGTTAACTCATCGACTTGATATTAATGTAAGTTCAAAAAATCTAATGATTTTATTCTCTATCAATTGATTAACAATAGAAGGATATTAGTGATAGATTTTACCGTAATCAATGACGTGATCGATTTTCATTTTATGTAGCCTTAGAATTTGTTCTTTTATTTTCAGATAATTCCGTAAAAGTGTTACTAATATAAAATCATTTATCACTTGTTTGCTTGCTATTAAATGATTAATAATTTACCAATACAATCTTCATATTAAGGTTTTAAAGTTCAAATTCAATATTAAGTTATCTGTGTACAGTGTGAAGTAGTTTTCTTCCTAACCAAGAAGGTTCAAATATTCAATGAAATTGTTTTGTTTTTGTTGGTTTTCATTGTATTTCTTCGATGAATTTTATTTCGAAATTTCATTTTTTTTAAATGTGTATAGATGTTTCCTTTGGCTTGATCATCTTCACATACATAATACATATAGTATGTAAAAGATGAGGACAGACTTTACGTTGTCAAGTCATGCAAAAACATTGAGATATTCCATCACACTATCATATAAAATACTGCTGTCAAGCCAATCTAGCTAGTGGAAAATTGCACAGAACGAAATATGGTAGCCATTGTGGATTACGATAGCGACAATAATAATTCCCACCTGATTCTGATGGTGACCACCAGGTACAGGGTTGTAATGGTGAATGTTAGTGGAGTTAATCGCCAGTTGATGAATGTGAATGATTTTTTTTTCTAATATTTTATTTTGTAAATAGCCAAATAATGTTTCAAATTTTTATTTTTATTTTTAAGGCTTGTTCATACTTTACATCATTCACTTGTCCATTGAGACTTGTATTTCATGCATTGGATGCCGGTACTGAACCATTCATGGTTATGTTCAAGGTAATGAAGTTTTTCCCGGTTTTTTACAATGGTTTTTATGAAAACGATAGTGCTTTGGACATATATTTGATTCATTATTCATACGATATACCTTTGTATATAGAAGTGATATGATAGCGTAGTGCATCTTATCATTACCACACAGTGATTTTTTAAACGTGAATACTAATTAAATCTTATTCACATCCTAAATTTAGTAGAAACCATTAAACATGTGAGTATTTGTGTAGTTAGGTCAGATCTGTATCTTTAATCTGAAAAAACCTCAGTAATGTATTGCACAAGTTCTCATTAATTATGAAATAAAATAATACAGATAAATTTAGGTTATTGTAATCAGATTAAACAGGAATTGCTTTAAATGTAAAAAAACTGGATTATACATCATTTCTTGTTGGTTGAAAGAAATTGGTGTGATGAACTGTAATAATTAGGCTTTTTTTCATCAACATCTTTCATGATCTCATATTAATCAACAGTCATATTCTATTCTGCTATAATAGACATAGGCAAAAACTCCTGAAACCGGTTTTATATATTCTAATTTAAAAAAAACAGTTTAAAATCTTTTCTTACCATGTTAATAGTATTGGCAGTTTATTATATCATTCTTGCGATTTCTCTTTTTTGTTTTGCTGACATTACTTCTTTGATATTCAAAATTTTATTTTTGGTTTATTGACTGATTTCAACTCATTCTGTGAAATAATTTGTTTGTTATTATTTAACTACTTATGAGTAGCTAAAGTGAATTAACATATTTGACACATAATTATTGGTATGTATCACACAAAACAATTAATCTGTGTGTATGCTGAGATACTCTCCAGCTGCCCGGACCGAAGCCCGTGGTTTTCTTATGGGACCACTCCTCGAAACTGCAACCAGGAAGTTTAATACACTTAGCAGTGAAGAAACGTCTAATGCCATCCCATGGTAGTCAGTGTCCAAGAATTAGTTCATACACAGTTTGTTCTCTCAGTATGCCTAAGCCCATGTGTACCATTCGTTTAGAACCAGGGTTTTCTATCTCTCATATATGTATCCTCTCTATGATGTTGTAGTTGGTTCATTGTGGTAATGTATTGTGTTTTGTAAAGAACTCTATCCGTTCATGTTTTAAAATGTACGAGCAATATCTGAAAATCTTTATATTGTGCTTACTATTTTGCTGTATTTTTGGTATTGTCTAGATGAATTAAATTTTTATTTAGCATTGGTAATTGTGGGTGATTGTTCGGAATCCATTTATTTCGAATGAATTTTACTTTCCGCTCAGCATTAAGACGTATCTTCCATTCTTATGGAACTATTCCCCGGGGTTGATTTTATTATGTTTGCGAATATTGAAACTGGGCTACTCAAGAAACAACAGATCTCTCCTAACAACTGCGATGTTTAAACCTATCTATAACTGAGTTCTAGTCCATATCGTATTGTCCAGTCCCTAGTCCATATTGAATTTCGTCAGTTCGGTTTGGATATTGTCGATAGTTAGGGTGACTCGTCATCTTTGTGCGCTACGTTTAGCATTATAATTTAGAAATAAGGGGAATGGTATTTTGTTATAATATATTTTATGATGAATATATTTCTTGTTCTGGAAGAATATTCTAAAATATTAATTTTCCGTCACTCAAATATATATGACTTATGTTTTTTTTAAGAATATAAAACATATTTTCGATTATTGTAAAGACAATCGTTTTATTAGAAAAATATCCAATAGCAACATATACAAACCGCTTTATTGTATTCAACTATTCAGTTTGAGTTTCTGGCATTTGTATAAAAACATTAAAAACTATTCTTATAGGCATTTAAACGTAAAGCAAAGCAGATCCAATGTGTGACTATTAGTTTCAATGATGAAATTATCTTCATCCACACTGCCGTCCTTGTTTCTTGCATCAGATTATGCCTCTTCACTCGACATCAGTCCATTTCATCGGAAAAGTTCATAAGCAGATTTTAACTTCTGTATGTCTCTGTTTAGCATTTTGTTTGCGGCTGTAAATGTAGTAGGTCGACTCATTTGAGTATTTTTGACTTCAAGTATAATTTCGATTCATTTGATAGTTTCATTTTTCTCTAAGAGATATGAGAAATATTTTTCTAATATGAAGTCGTGATTGAAGGTAGTCAACGGGAAACACTGAATGTAGATTCTTTGCTATTTGGCACTCATCTGTAAGGTCTACCTGTAATCTTAAGGAAGCCGATGCTCTCTAGCGGATTCCGTTCTGTGTCAATCAACTTCAAAATCACAGATTTTATCACTGAGCTATCAGGCTCGCTAATGATCTCTTGTAGAATTGAGGAATGTCATGTGGTCACTGCCAAATGACTGACCAATTGTTTTTTTAATCTAGTTCAATTAAATTAACTGTGATTGATGATGAATCTGTTCACCAGTTATTTTGATTTCAAATGAATAAAACTACTCGATGCTACTGATTGTCTTATGTATTACGATGTTTTACTAATGTATAGTTTATTCATTTATGAATCTATCCAGCTCATTTTACTTAAAGTAATTTGTTTTCTATTTTTGTTAAGGCTGGTGATGATTTACGTCTGGATAGTTTAATCTGTCAGCTGACTTTTCTTATGGATCGAATATGGTTAGATGCTGGATTAGATTTACGCATGATCCATTTTCGTATTTTACCGACTGAAGAACAAAAAGGTTTTATTGAATTGGTAGGTATGAGAACGATGCATTATATCGCTCTTTCGATTTCTTCATTAACATTTAGACTTGTTTATGCGTTATTTATGAAATATTTTTAATATAATTATTAACATTTATCTTATTCGATGATGTTTTTTCCTTCTAATTAACTTAAATCCTAATGTAACCATCTTGTTTATGACATTTGGATGCACTACAATTCATTTGACTGTTTTTCTTGTCACTATAAACTGTCATAGGATTTATGTACTGTCATTCTATTATTGAGTCAAAATGAAGCCGTCTTTCTGAGATTTCTCAGTTTAATCTTATTTAAGGACATGGTTGGTTAAGTAGGATATTGTAAAATTGTTAATTAGGATGAAAAATCGACAAAATAAACTTGCTTATTAGATATTAGTTTTCTTATCAATTTCTCATTATATTCTAGTGTAAATTGATTATTTGAAATATCATTCAAATCAGAAGTAGCGCAGTGTTGTTGATTTTTGTTGACCGCCATAGAACCATATCAAAAATTGATTAACATCAAAATTTAGAATGATCATATTTTAATTCATTGTTTCGATGGTGTGTAAACTAACAAAATTGTTCAACATTAAGAATTACCAAGATCTCTTAATAATCTTTGATATTCAATCATTTTACTAAATCAAAAAAGTTTGTGTACTTTTAATTGGTTAGAGATAATTATTGATAACATGAATGAATGATTATTATACTAATGAGTATATTTTGAATAAAATATGAACTATTAATATTTTGTTGTTCAATTTTTTTTTATATCAGATTTCAGAATGTAGTACACTTCGACAAATTCAACAACAAGGAGGCGGTTTAACTGGACCTTTCAAAGGAGGTGTTATCACAAAATGGTTACAATCACAAAATATTACTGAATTGGATTATAAACGAGTTAGTAAACTGATGATCATTTGCGCCAACTTACTTAATGATGATTTAGTTATGTTAATAATTGGTTTATAATTCATGTAGCCAATTAAAAATAAATCATTACTATCATTTTAAACATTTTTAAATCAATCTTTCTCCTGGTGTTCAATACTCTTTATTCATGTCATGAAATGCTAAAGTTATTTAATGCATAAAGTCACTAACTTATGCTAGAAAATTAAGACATGACAAGTTGTTGATCGAAACTTCAGTTTCCACCTCCGTTATACCTACCTGGGTGACAAGTTTTAATTTTCACACAATCTCTCTCAAATCTTTGTACTTGATAGATGATTTTTTTTTTATTTTCGGATTTTCACTGACAAAATTTATTGCCTCTAAGCATAGAAGTATAGAACGCTTTTCTCAAATCACACACTCGTTAGGGTTAGGGTTCTTAAATCTCTCATGCATTTATAGTTTAAAAAAAAGTGTCTGATCACTTTTTCACATAAATAATCTATTTAGTATTTTAAAAACAACACTGTATTGTGTTATTTGATAAGTTTACATATCTTTTTATATTAGCAGTTCTTCTATAACTCCGATGATAATCATTATTGACTATTTTAGTAAAATGAATATACAATAAATCTGTTATAATATTTATTACTCAAAATTATTTCAGTATGACAATAGTATACTTTTATTCACACATCTCAACTTATACTTTTATCCATCCTACTAATAATATCTCTATTTACTAAAATCATGATAAATATTTCTATTTGTGATTGATTTCATTACATATTAACATAATTACTGTTAGTGTGATAATCATATTGATTGATTGTAATTGTAATTGTAATTTATTTGAGTATTCATCGTTTTCGTTTTTTGTTTGTTTTTTTCAAATCAACAAAAAGTCTTTAGATAATTTTCTACGTTCATTGGCTGGATGTTGTGTAGCAACGTATATACTCGGTGTAGGTGATCGACATAATGACAATATTATGATACGTTATTCTGGTCATGTATTTCATGTTGATTTTTCTAAAGTATTTGGAAATAGTCAAACATTTGCTGGTATTAAAAGGTTTGTAATTAAGTGTTAATATTTATTTACTTGTTTCATTTTTTTGTTTAGAAGATGCAATGTAACTCACTAGTGTTTTATTTTATATCATCATTTTTGTGTAGAAACTTTAGATGAACGCCATCTTACAGTTAGTCTAACTGATTGGATTCAAACTAGTCTGTTCATTGTAAAGAGATTTTTTTTATCTAATATGTGGGGCTACAAAACACTTATTTGGTACTATCATTCTAGAACATTTCCGTAGATAAGAGGCAACTAATACCTCAAAAGCTAGTTGATAGTTCTGAATTTTTGAGATTATCCCTGAATGGAAAAATACAGTTGCTGAATAAAGCATGATAAAGACACGTGAGACTCTTGTGGGTTGGTCTTAAATTCATTAGCTGGGGGATTTTTTAGTTACTCATACTAGGACAAAACAGCTATCTCTCCTTTCAATGATTCTACTTTTGATACCAATGCAACACTAACTTCAATCTCTACTAATCGATAAAGAATACACCTGAAATTCGTTTTTCATGCTACAAACAGTGTGATAGAGATATACATTAGATCTCGGAGCTGGATTCGATGTCTTATGATGACCATAAACATTGATAGCGTTCTTTTAATTATTTTACATCCAGTCATAAATCTGTGAATGTTGTATCACAATAACCGAAACAGGGCATAAATGTAAGAGTACGACTGATTTAGTCACTGCTGAACATTACAATACTGAACGATCATTCAATATGAGATGGAGCAAGAAATACTGTAAAATCGTGAATTATAATTATTAGACTGTGGAATTATATAAATATGATATCACTTAAGATAAATACATTAGGTTTGAGTAATGCAATTATATTCATAAAGTTGTTGCTGACAAAAACATTAGGATACGAGTTTGTAAGTTCATAGTCAGCATGACAATGTCCAACATATTATGATCACAGCAAACAAATAAACAAACTGTTTACCTTCTTTAAAACACAGGTCAGATTTCTTCTAATTAATCTCAATGGTAAAGTATTCTATTTTAACATTAAGTTAGATAAACATATCATAAACCATCATTTATCAGATAGTTTTTTATATTATATTCAGTGAGATTGTGACTTCATTGAAATCTTGTTTCATTCTTCACCATTGATCGATCGTATCAATTAAAAATGGTTTAGTTAATTTAAAAATGCATTAATTTTGTATAAACTACCCCCAGTATGGAATGAATCCTATTTGTTTTTCTTTTTTGTTAATTGTTTATGACTTGTACTATTTGATTGATTCATTTTTGTTTTATTAGAGATCGTGTACCATTTGTATTGACACAAGATATGTTGCATGTATTGAATACTTATTCTAAAGATGTGACAAATTTACCGCATGATTTAAATAATTCATCCGGTTTCGGTTATACACCAGGTCATGGTTCTAGTCATCATTCACAATTCGGTGTACAAATTTTTATTGATAAATGTTGTGAAGCGTATAATCTACTTAGACATCGTTCATATCAATTAATTTCATTGCTTGAATTAGTAAGTGATGTAATTCACTATTCATAATGTTTTAATCGAATTTTCATAATTGTTTTAACTGTTATGCAGTTGTTCAGTTGAAAGTGTGAAAGTTTTCTTGTCTCAAATAATCATTTAGTGTCATTAATTGATAATCAATCATTTTGTGTTATTAGAAACAAATTCTAAATTACAGAGTATAGAGTATAGTTAGTCTATGCTTTCTCAACCTTAATATGTATATATAATATATTGAAATTATGGTTATCGTTAAAATCTAGGACGAATACTTCGTCCTATTTTAAACTTGTCATCTCCACTCATTGGCAGTATTTCCATGTTTGCGATACGTTTGAATGCTATAACGAGCGCACCTGACTCGGTAAACGGAACGGCGATCAACGATACAGTGGCACCATAGGCTATTATAATCCATTTGTCCCAGACCCAGCTAACTAGATCAAAATGTCTTGATGAGGAGTAGAGAATGTTTTCTACAAGCAACCAGAAAATTCGAGGTTGCTAAGCACACAAATCAAGCTTATTCATAGAATGATAGAAATGCCCTTGGGAGAGTCACAAAATAGCGTACTAAAATAATCCATCAACCAACGACAGTCAACGATTTTCCGAGTGAGAAATGAAGGCTAAAGGTCAACTTAGTATCTCTGGAGCTAAAACATGAAAATTCAGAATTTCAGAATAAAATTACAAAAATCGGACCATTTCCAGGTGAGTTCTAGCGATCTAACGTCCCCAACAGTTTGTCTCATTTGGTCGTGAACCCGAAACTCAATGCTTACCGATTGACCTAATATGTTCATGTATCGATTTTTGTTCTTATCAGCCCTCAGAATGGTATAGACTGCTGTATTATGCACATAGGTGTTAGGTTCTGTATTAGAGATAAATGACCGAAATCTTTGGGTTATAATTACCGCATTTTATTTCTTACATTTAGCATTTATTCCTTGATTTTATCCTTCTTCTTTTAACCTCAAAGAGTTTATCAATGAATATACCAGGTTTGAATCGGGATTGTATTCGATTTGTTTTAAGAGCATTACGATTAGAATTAAATGATCAAGAAGCTAGTCAATATTTTACTGAGTAAGACGAAGAATTATTATTCTTATATTTTCTTTTTAATAAATACTATTTTTTCTTAATAACATAATCTGTGTTAATCAAATTTTGATGGGGATTTTATGAAGTAAAGTAAAAATAAAACAGTTTTTATTCATAAAATGATCTCTTGATCGCTTTACAACATACATGCTTATTCAATCTGCTACTTATGGTAGTCTGATTAATAAAAATAGTATCAGCTAAATTTTCTATATATATGAATATGTCAATTACTTTTTACTAACTAGTCTCTGACTAAAATCTAAAGTCCTTTTGTGTAGTAGTTTATTTTGCTGATTGGATGTTATTGATCCAGTTTCAGTGCAAAGTGCGACTCATTACTTGGCGGTGCAGTTAATGTTAGGCGGTTGATAGCAGTCATCATGGAGTCCTGAGTATGGATTTCCTACTAATTGTTACTCATTAATTTGGTGAACCTACAATTTTGATGTAAATTCGAATCATACAAATATTAACTAATTATAAGCACTTATTTTTTAAGAGGGAAAGCTGATATATTGAACTAGTCAGAAGTGGTTAAATGAAAAGGCTATTTGAAGACCATCGGAAATGTCTTAAAGGACGAATGCATATCATCGGTTAAGAAATGGCTTTCTTACTCAAGGAGTTGAATACATTTATTTAAACAAGTATTTGTTCATATCATTTGGTAGTCAAATAGACCTTTCCTGATTTTTGTCTTCTGGCTCAAGCAGCTAGGGTTTTTTTCGAGGAGAGAGGAGAACTTCTCACCTCAGATCTCGGCACAACTCATCATAAAACTCTGTTGGATAGTTCTGTAGGCTGAATTTGACTCAAATTCTCACTTATCTAACAGTCGCATTATCTTGTCCTTAGTGACATTTGTGTATAGTGCTGAGTTAGCATCAATTTACAGAATACTCATTGTTAAGTTATACCAAGGTGTATGAAATGTAGGTTCAACGCTTCCAGCACATACATGATTTCCAATTGTCTGACTGTCACAGCACATTAATTTAATTTTTTTAAGAAAATGCTAATCGAAATTCATATTCAATCAACATATATCAGACAGAGTAATCAGTACAGTAATAATCATTTTAATAACTTAACTAAAGATTATTGATTGATTTGTGTTTTTTATTCTTGTTTGTTTCACTGATTTACTAATTCTTTCGTTTCATTTGAATTTCATTCTAAATTCACTTATATATATATAAATTTTTTTTTCAGATTAGTTCGTAAAACTTTACACTCAAAATCTTCTAGTTTGAATTTCTTTGTACATGGACTAGCCCAAGCTAAACAAGCTTCACATGGTGGAGGTGTTTCTGGCACAAATACAACTGTAACTGATAATGGATCCCCTTCAAGAATGAACAATCAGCTCGACAATCACTGGAATACAGATACTAAAATGAACAATAGTAATAAAATTGATAATAACAGTTCAAACAGTAGTGGAAAAATTAGTAATAATCCAAAAAGTCTATGCCCTCCAACAGTTAGTAATTCTCTTTCAAATTATGCTGGAACAGGACCAATATTCAGTTTTAATCCTAAACGTTTCACGTAAGTGTTTTGCTCTCGTGTAGAAAATGTATAACAATGTTTGTTCAAACTACTGACTGAATAATTTTACACTGATACTAACTTCTTCATTGACTTATTAGTAGTTACAGTCAAACACACTGAGGTTAGTTAGTAATCAAAATAGTTCTGAAAAAGATCAATACTTCAAGGATGGTTCTTGTAATTGAAGGAAGCTTTCTAATAGTTGTATTTTCAATGTCACAAAGTCATGTTATTGTTTTTTCGGTGAAAAAAAATCATTTCCATACAATACAATTTATATTCCGTCATATGATAGTCTATCTAAACAAACAAGTGAATATTATGTTGTTCATTTAACAGAGTTATATCGTTCATTGTAATATCTTTTTTCCAAATTATCAATCAAGTGGTGTCTGTTAGGGCTGCCCACTCTCTATATTCTTGTTTAACTTTGTCGTAGACATGCTTTTAGAGTTAATATTATCTTCGTCTGACTTTTTCGGGGTGGACTTCCGACAAGGAGACACGCTTGTTGATTTAGAATATGCTGATGACATAGTCCTATTCGGTGAAGACGCTGACAAAATGTAGGGTCTTCTGACTACCCTAAGCAACAATGCAAGCATATTCGGGATGCGGTTTTGCCCATCGAAATGCAAAATGTTGCTTCAGGATTTGGTGTCATCTGCACCTGAACAAGTATTAGGGAGTGAAGTAGTCGAACGTGTCAACCACTTCACTTATCTCGGAAGTCTTATCAGAGCTTATGGCCTGGTTTTTTACGAAATCTCAGCTCGGATACAGAAAGCTCGATTGGCTTTTGCCAACCTGTGTCACCTATGGCGCAGGCGAGATATCCGCTTGCTAACCAAAGGACGAGTATACCGTGCAGCAGTTAACTCAGTCCTACTATATGGCTGTGAAACATGACCAGTGAGAGTAGAAGATATTCTTAGGTTGCTTGTTTTTGATCAAAGATGTCTCGGAAGCATTGCTCGTATATCCTGGGACAACCGAGTAAGCAATGCTGTCGTTAGGAAACGGGTGCTAGGTAAGGATGGCAGATCAATAGATGAAGTGTTGAAACTTCCTTTGTTGAGGTGGTTGGGACATGTGTTACTAATGCCCATCCACCGACTGCCTCATCGAGCTTTGTTTTGTGGTGTAGGATCAGGTTGTAAGAAAGTTAGGGGCGGCCAGATCAAAACATGGCAGAAATGCATAAAGTCACTGACCAATGGACTGAGTCATATTGTTAGATCTAGGCTACCTTGTTGGGGTCCGCGAGATGACAATAATCGGTAGTTAGAGACCCTGAGTGACATCGCCCAAGATCGTTTTCAGTGGTGCTAGTGCGTCCACTCTTTGTGTTCTTTGAAATTCTAACCTTCTGAATTTGTCATCACCTCTCTCTTTACCTTTGTTAATTTATTTCACTGGATTATACTTCTTTAATAATATCTTCGAAATCTAGTCTTTACCATTACCACTAACACTTCTACTATCTCCACCTCTATGGAATTTGAACGGACAGTCTTGTCTCTGTGTCCTTGGGGTATGGAAACCTGAACTTATGTACTCACGTACGAAGTTCTACGTTATAACTGACTGACTAACTGCTAAGATAATAATTATTAATCAAATTCAATGGAAAGAAAAAACAAAATTCGAAAGCCGAATTTGTCTTCCAAAAAGAAAACTTATGCTCTTCGCATAATTAACCTTAGATCAGTCGAATGGAAAGATTTTACCGACCCGTTATCTTACTTCGGTTTGAACAAATGGTTAAATAAGCCATCAATATAAATCTTCCATTTAATTTCGTGTATTAAACTTCGGCTAATCCCATTTTTTATGATGATCGCAGTAAGAAGCTTAATGCTGTTTCGGTTTGATTAATTTATTTCATGCAATCGTTTACGCAGACCGAAATTAAAAATAAGAATCAGGAAAACGAAGCGAAGCGGAGAGAGCAGATATGACAACTACTCTATACTACTCATTACAAACGTTCATATAACTGAAAGTTGATAATGTTGTTTAGTGTGACAAAGTGATAGGCATACAAACAAGGCATATACGCGTAGAATTACATAGATATGAATACGAGACGTATGTATGCTGAAGGTTTTAATTTTACTATGAAAAGAAGAGTTATTAATATAGTCGAAACGATCCATTTGTTACATGCTGTATGATACTCGATGCTGCAAGATATTTTCGTGTGAAATCTTGTCGGACATCCTTAGTTGTTAGACTTTAAGACATTTTTCTGTGTCTGTCATCCCACGAAGTTTTTTCTATGCTATCGATATTTTATGTAATTGCTTCAAATGGTTGACGAGAATCATTCGGTACATTATGGCCTGATTAATAATTTCCTCAATCATGTGTGCAATTTGTATAGGTTTTTTTTTTACAAAAAAACATATTTGCTTTATAACTTTTCCCAATCAAAATCTTATCATATATTCTGGCGAGACATAGTTTGTCGCCTGAATACTGACGTTTACTAATCCTGGTAGTACTAATTTCACGTTGCTATGGTTTTACATATATATTACTCGTTATGAATGATTTGATGAGCATTTTTTTCCTCATAAAAAGTCTAAAAAATGTGTACAATTATTATATGTAAAAGTTAACGGTTTTTAAAATATACAACTCAATGTAGTCAATCATTATTTTGTGAACCAAAACTGTTTTGAACAGTGTATTTTGATATTAAGCGATCACTCATCCTACCTACCTCATATGTATTTGAATTAAATTCGGTTAGTTGATTAGTAAATGGCTTGCAGTTTTGTGCTTGCCATTAACATAATAATGTGTTAAAACACTTAAATAGCGAAATGAAACCTAAGTTTTTTAATTGTCTTCCTGTGTTAGCTTAAAGTGTGAGTTCGTTTGCATATACATTTCTTGTTTTTGCTCAAATTCAATCACACTCCTGCGTTCGATTAGAAATTTCTATATGTGAACACCTGAAGATACATATATAATTTATTGTTATTTAAAAAAAATCTGTTTGATCGCTTTGATGAATAATTAAAAATCAAATGAAATTTCATTCATTAGAGGGTAGTATTTTTGGGGACGTTAAATCCCTAGAATTTCCTTGGAAAAATTCCTGATTTTGTAATTTTATTCTGAAATTCTGAATTTCTATGTTTACGCTCATTTCCCACTCAGAAAATCGTTGACTGTCGTTGGTTGATGGATTATTTTAGTACGCTATTTTGTGGCTCTCCCAAGGGCGTCTCTGTCATTGTATGAATAAGCTTAATTTGTGTGCTTAGCAACCTCGAATTTTCTGGTTGCTTGTAGAAAACATTCTCTACTCCTCATCAAGACTTCTTGATCTAGTCAGCCGGGCCTGGGACAATCGGATTAGAATAGTCAATCGTGCCACTGTATCGTTGATCCTCGTTACGTTTACCGAGTCATGTGACCTCATTACATAGCATTCAAGCATATCACTTGACAAGTTTAATCAAGCACAAATAATAATCAGCTTGATAACAGTTCATCCAACAATCAATCATTGATCAATTTACTGCAAATTTGATTTTATTATATTATTTCAATGAATTTACGATTTGCTCTCATTTTAACTTGTTTCTTTTCTTTTTTTTCCTTTTCATGTTTATTTTTATGTTATATTTAATTATAAAAAATGATCTATATCGTTTAAATGTATCTACGTGCACAGAAATGATTCAGATGGTAATATTGATGCAGTTGTAGTGGAGATCGCAGTGAAAAAGAAAACCCGGGACAAACATTCTGTAAGTTTAGATTTTGTCTAAAGTAATAATTGAAACAGAGTTTGATTAGTTTGCTTGCCTCCTATCTTATGTATAACATAGGACCTAGGATAAATGTGTTTCACTTCATTCTGCTACAATTCATATTGGTTTAGGATGAGTATATGTATGTATATGAGACTTTAGACATATAGCTTCTAAGAAAAAGTATACATAGTATCAAATGAAATCAAGCTCAGTATGTAGCAGATGATTGGAAACTAACTAATTGCTACTGAGTCATGTAACCTCATTTTCAAAGATCATGATTATCGTTTCGAATCTGTAATAAAGTTGATAGCATATTTTTGTTTGGGCGTCATTAAATGTCTTTTAACTAACTCCTGAGCTAGTTTAGTAACAAAATTCAGAATCGGTGATCGCTAGTTATGAACAAAATACGCTTCAATCACCTAAATTGATGAAGGTTTACTGTTTTATAATTTTATGGACTGTTTTCACTTATTCCTTTACACATAGTAAATTCCATATTTCCTTGGTCGAACCATCACTGACTGTTGCCTAGAAATTACTTATGATCAAAATAACTGCAGCCTTTTCATGTTTCTTCTGTTTATATGTATCATGTTTCGGGGCTTCCAAACAATAAAGTACAAACACTCGCATGGTATTCTCATTCTCCGATAGGCACGTAGACAGTTTCCCTGAATTGATAAAAGTCAAAGAAGTTTTATATATCCAGACCCAAATGTCACAATCAGATGGTCTTTAAGTTCAACCTCATATGCCTAGAGTAGTAGTAGACTAATCACTAACTCGGACTGCTGTGGTGGATACTACTCGCGACGTGGTTTCCCAGTAGGATGCAGTGGATATTCGTTCTGAAGTTACTATTGGAGAGGAGTGTCGGAATGCATGTCGTAATCAAAAAGGTTTGAAGATGAAAACATATCGGACGAAGATATTCAATAATCTGCTTATTTTCCAAATGGAAGTATGAAGCTTAGGTGTACTTATTTTGTTAGTAAACCGTCACATTTAAGAGAGCGATTTCTTAAAAGTTAGACGAATTAAATGTTTTTTCAGACGACGTTTAATATCAAACTAAGTAAAACAGAGAATAGACATCACTTGATGTAGTTTGTTCCAATAACGGTTCACTCTATGCTTTGACTTTACTGATAGTGTACGTTATAAAAAACCTTCAACAGTTTTAAATATTTCTTCAGTATGTTTTACTATGGCAGATAATGTCATAAGATCTATGGATAAACAGAGTCACACATTTTTCAGTGACCCGTACTGTTTTAGAATATTTATTTTTCAGGAAACTAGGCAGTCTCTAAAAATATTGTCGACCTGTGAGAGCAACTCTTAATTACGACTGACAATGGCTTAAACTTAGTTCTCTCGATAATATTACATTCTTAGTTCAAATCTTATCACCATCGAAAGTAGTGAGAATCAATCCTTTTTAACAAACATATATGTTTCTGGAAAACTAGCGTCACTGCAAAAGCTAATTATCCCTCGGAAACAACTATCCATCGTCGCATTCTGGTGCAGTTGACAGTACGATTTTGTCTTTGTGACTTCAAAGTTTCATCACTTCTTTACGCTACCTCTAAACTGACCTGATTGTCACTATAGAACCTCATTAAACACTCTTCTAGCTAAAATAGTTCAATTTAGTTACTAGGATAGGCCAGTTTACCAATATGTCCATGTAGCTTATGATCAGGTCTGTAATGTATACAAAGAGTAATTTTTCTCGGCTTATAAGCCTCAATTCATTGCGTACATACATTCATTCCAAAGTTGGTTATTATTTAAAAACCACTTCATATATATATATATATATATATATATATATATCGTGTTCTTGATATTTTTTATTTGCTAGCAATTTATATTTCGTTCCCATAGGATTATTACTTCCCAATGAATGTTTGGCGGGAAAATTGTCGAGTTCCAGCTAGAGTTTATCGTCGTATTTCAGATTTAGAAGAATTAGAAACTCGATTACTAGAATTTTTTCCAAATTCAAATGTTACTAAAACTGTGTCACACATAATGAACGCTTTAAATTCATTGAGTGTTACTTCTACACGATCCCAAGATCATGTGCAATCTCTAACAGACAGCTTACTTTCAGATGATGATGTTGTATCCAAAGTAAGAAATTGACGATATATTTTCGCTTACTTTTTCATCTACTCTTTATTATGTTTTTTATAAGATTTTATTTAATCTTTATACTAAATATGAGTTTGATTTTAACTTTTCAATTACATTTGATGAATATGCAATTGGTTTTTTTAATGCACACTCTATTAAATATAAATGATAAAAAGAGAACTGTGCAATAACTTCATTAATCATGATCAATAAGTCATTGATAAACTAACTACGTTCAATCTAACATTATTGTGTGTCATTTCAGGTTACAGCAACATCAGATCAGCAAACCAAGATATATGCCACAGATTAATAAAAGTTTTGATTGTATAATAGTCAATCTTGCTTGAAACTATTTGATTATATCAACAAACAAAAGAAGCAATAATCAATAAAAATTTAGTCAATCGGACAATAATACTTGATTCATCAATTGCACAGTCCTGACCATAGCTGATACCTTGACGTGGTGGTCGGGCTTGCCTATCTTGATGACCCGACCGTGCTATATTGGCTGGAACATATGTTCCTTCAGGTCCTACCATGCCAGGCAGGTCGATTGGAGAACTATGAGACTAAAATCAACTACACGAGGCCTGAGGGCGAAGTCGTACTGCTGACTGTAGAGGGGTGTAACAGCAGTAAGGCATTTTTCTCGGACATCCAGCATCTGTAGTGATGCTACCTTCTGACAAGGAAGGAAGCGGTTAGAAAAGGTCGACCCTAAAAATGTCACACCTCACCCTACCTCATGGATTTCCGTCTCCGGCGGTAAGGCCATTTGAGTAGCAGAGCTAACATCTCATAAAAAGGCCGTGCGTGACCGGCCTCAAGCAGTTGTCCCTTGGACTATGCGTTCACACTTTCAGGTCGTTAAGACCAACTCTAATCCACCTTCCTTTTCAGGTCCCTCAAGAAACCCTTCCACGGCGTGGGCAGCCAGGAAGTGAAATCCGCCCTCATACCCGTACCAGCACGCAAAATCAAATTGGTCTCAATCAAATCCTCTCTACACCCCATAACATCTCTCTTATCTCTACAATCAACTCTTCTCACATTCCTTTATCGCCGTACACCGCTAATGCAAACGATTCCAGTTCCCGAAACATTATTCCTGGTCTCCTGAAATCCCGTTCTAGATTACTTGTTGGAGCATTTAATGTCCGGACGTTGTGTCGAATAGGATAACAGGTTTCCTTAGCTAGGACTTCAGAATCTCGCGCCATCGATGTATGCTGCGTCTCGAAAACGCTTATACAGGATCCTGGTAAAATCATTAATTTGATTTCACCTTTTCAAAATAAAGAAGCGGCTCGATTCGCACCTCGAGGAAACCTCTTAGGGTTCTATTTATTGATAATAAAGTTAAGAATATATTTCAGGAACAACTAGAAAGACAGTTAGGCGACTATGTAAGTGATTCCTATCCGAAGGCAGCTTGGAATGATGTCAAAAAATATGTGGAAACACAGTTATACTTGTTAGTAAGGTAAAACATAAGGCTAGGAAGAAGCCATGAATCTCAGTGGCATCCACCGAACTGACAGTGACTCGTTAACTCATCCAACTTGGCTCTGAACATGACGACGAGCGAAGTCAACCTAAACGCATGTGGATAAAAAGCCTACGCAATGATCGACAACAGTAGTGAGTGGCGAAGGTGAGAGCGACGGAAAAGGTAGCAGCGATAGGTAACAGCAGACAGTTGTTCTGGCTTATCAAGGAAACTGGTATTAGAAATCAATCTGTTAGCGAAAATATCTCAGAAAAAGATGGGCTTATGATTCATTTTGAATCCAGGAGATTGGATCGATAGGCAGAACACTTCAGGGATCAGTTTAATTGGCCTTCAGCTACACTTCGGTTATCCACGATCTCCAGTCATCTGCAACGGCAAATCTGTATCAAGTTGAAAAGGCTATAGGAAATCTGGAGCGACGGAGAGCAGTAGTATGCTGATGACATCGTTCTATTTAGTGAAGACGCTGAAAAATGCAGAGTCTTCTGACTACCCTAAGCGACAACGCATGCATCTCTGGGATACGGCTTTCCCCCTTGAAATGCAAAATGTTGTTTTAGGATTGGGTTGCATCGGCACCTGAACTAGTGATAGGAAATGAAGTAGCCGAGCGTGTAGACCGCTTCACTTATCTCGGAAGTCTCATCAGTGCTGATGGCCTGGGTTTTTACGAAATTTCAGCATGGATACAGAAGACTCGATTGTCGTTTTCCAACTTGCGTCACCTATGGCACAGGCGAGGTATCTGTTTGCTAACGAAAGGTCGAGTGTACTGTGCAGCAGTTCACTCTGTCCTACTATATGGATGTGAAACGCTACCGGCAAGAGTTGAGGAGATTCGTAGATTGCTTGCCTTCGATCATAGGTGTCTTCGAAGCATTGCTCGTATATCCTGGGACAACGGAGTGAGCGATGCTCTCGTTAAGAAATGAGTATTAGGTAAGGAATGCAGATCAACAGATGAATTATTGAAACTTCGGCATTTGAGGTGTTTGGGACATGTGTTACGTATGCCCAACCACCGACTGCCTCGACGAGCAATGTTTTGTAGTGTCGGAGTACGTTTGAAGGAAGCTATGGGCTGCCAAACCCAAACATTGCAAAAATCCATCAAGTCACTGACAAGTGGACTGAATTATGTCGGTAGGTATCGACTACCTGGCTGAAGTTCGCTAGACGAAAGTCACCAATGGTTAGAGTCCTTGAACGACATGGCTCAAAACGGTTTGCGATGGTGCAGGTGCATTCATTTCTCATTCAAACATATAGTATACAAATGCGTTTGATAAATATTGCCGTGATTTATTGTCTACTATGAGTGTTGTACCCCAGTTATACTTTTGAGAGTATCCGTTTCATCATTCAAGTACGAGTTGTAAAAATAATCAACACCTTTTTCTCGGCCGTATCAGTGCTGTGTTTCATAGATGCTCTTCCTTTTTTATTTTATTCAAATGCATTTGGTGTTATACAATTTTTGATATTGTACAATAGCGACTCACGATGCTTTCCTTACTTCAGATTAGTATGTCGTAGTTTTTTTCTTTTGTTTTCTAGAATATTTACAATACATTAAAAAGTCATTCTCTATTTATTTTACATAAACCTATGTCTAACCAGCCATATATTTGTTTGTATAATTTCTTTCCTCATTTAGAGTACAATTGTATACACTTTCTTTCACAGTGTATTATTCGATGAAAGATTTACGGCTGAAGATATGGCATCACAAGGTTAGTCAATCATACGTACGAAGTAGTAGTCTACGCATCGAAATTTGGTTTTGTCCGTTTACTTATTGTTTAAAGTCACATAAATGAAATAAATCATTTTTTATTGCTATGTGAATAATTTCACAGTCAGTCAATGGCGTTGTAGAACTCGTTGCGTTTTATCATATATTCACTATACCCGCTTAGTACAGAGTTGTTGGGAGAGAATACAAGGGCAGTGAAGACAGTAACAATGTCAATTATATCAAAAAGAAAAATTCAACATCAACGATGTAACTCGAGAAAATGTAAATTATTGAGGAATTCATTGTTTTACTCTCTCATGAAGCACCAACATTGAATCCAGCTTAATGATCGTTATCAACGTGCCATTTAATTATTTTTTTTAGTCATTCAACATATAGTAGTAGGTTTTATAGTTTTTGTTTTCTGCATAAGCTGGTGTGTATTTGGAGGTAACCTTACACTTGGATGTCATATTTTTCGATGCTCTAGTTACGAAATTCATATCTACAACAATGTTTTCTTGAATTACTTTGTCGGTAATAAAAACTACATTTCAATCATCCGTTGTATTATTACGGATGCCTGCATGCAATATTGTACAAGTGAACATACTTTGATTAGATTTTCTAAAGAAATATGTTGGTTCCAGATAAATGTAGGAATTAACCACTGTTCATTACATGATGAATGATATACCATTTAAGATTGACAAGTTAAAATATTTCCTAATCATTCATTTATTATTAAAAATAAACAATATCAATCAAAACCACATTTTCCAATGCCTCTCATTATATATTTTTCTGTTTTTATTTTTTTAAGTAAATAGAAGTGAAAATTATGAAGCGACCATTCATTTTTTTTTCTTTACTTATTAACAATAAGTCAATTCAGTTTTAATTAAATATTTTTGAATTATGCATAAACTATGTTGATATGAAATGAAAGATTAATCTGTTTTAGTGTGGATTTTCTTTATTGTAGATGTTTAATTTGAATTTTTTCCGTGTAAGCTAATGACTGAATTAATTAAAATCACTGAATTTTCTAACACTGTATTTTTTTTTATTTTAGATTAATATTTTTGATGTTTTTTTTGTTACTATTTTTCAATGTTTTTTCAATGAGTTTTTCTCGTCAGTTTATTTTAATTTTAGTATATTTTTTTAAAAATCTTTCTTATTAAAACAAAAGAAAGCATAAATAATCTTAACACCAGTTGTAAATTTTTTTTTGCTAACAATTTCAACAAAATATTTTCTGAAATTCTCATTTAATTCAACTTGGAATTATTAGTACATTGATGTGATAATGTTTGAGAAAAATAAGTTTATAAACTATTATGATACTCACTCCTATCTATTAAATATAAAATTATATTATGAAATTTAATACTATTAATCATCAAATAATATTTCGTACTTGATAACTCTGCTGCTTACAAACAAAGTTGTTAATGACTATGCGTTAGAATCAGTTAATAAATACTACATCAGTTCAGTAAATGTACAAGATGTAAATTAAAACTGTCAAATTCTGAATATCCATAACATGAAACAACTGAGTATAGAGAATACATCAATTTGAAATGAATAAAAACAATTTTGAGTTGTGGTGATAAGCCACTAATGTCAATTTCGAACCTTATTAGTTATGACATGTAATTATACTATTGACATGTGTCTTGCATAAATTAACCAGAAATTACTGCAGCTGTAAGCATAAATCAATCAAACAGACAGTGACTTATGAAACCTGTAACATGTTATTGTCTGGCTAACATAGTTAGTCAGTTACGACGTGGAACGTCGTACGTCAGTTCAAGTTTCCATACCTCATTAGTATAGAGACGCATTTGTCAGTTCGAATACCATAGTGGTAGAGATAGTGGAAGTATTAACTATATTAGAGAAGATTAGGGTTCGAAGACATGATTCGAGAAGTATAATTCAGTGAGGTAACTTTAGAAAGAGAAAGGTTGAGATGATGAGGAATTCAGAAGGTTCGGGTTTGAGAGAACACAAAAAATGAATGCACCTGCGTCTTTGCAAACAATTTTGATCCGTCATTCAGGGTCTCTAGCAATTGACTAAATCATCTCGCGGACCCCAACCAGGTAGTCAACACCTACTAACATGACTCAATCCAGTTGTTAGTGACTTCATGGATTTGCGCTGTGTTTTGGTTCGGCCGCCCCAAGACTATCATAGCTTTTTTGTAGATCAATTTCGTATAGCCAGAACACCAAATCCCAATAAGTTTTGATTTTTTCATACTCTGTAACTCCTAATATTTGTAGTGTGAAGTTTAAATCACTTTTTATAACTTACTAATGGAAGTTAGTTATTTTTTGTTTGGTTTTATTTATTATTTTTTCACCTTAATTTAACTCATTTAAGATGTTCATTGGTTAGCACTTATCCTTGAAAAGTACAAATACACATTTGCAAAAGGTCTCTTTGATATTAGATTGAATATTTTTACGACAATCGTTTCATCCCTGTAAATTGTTAAATATTATTTTTAAAAAAATTTGATCTAGTAGATTTTAGTTAACAATACAAATTAAACTACATGCATATATTATTATATTCAATAGTAATCAGTTTTCTTTTTAAAGGTTGAACAAAATTCCCAGCTCCTGAATAAGCTAGTAAGTGAGTGACTGAGTGAGTGGTCATATCCGAATAATAAAATAAATTCTTCATCACCTCGGTGCACTTTCCATTAATTTCTTTTTTTGTATGGTTTAAACACGACTTCACATTCAAATAGCAATAACTCAAATTTTCTTTGAAATAGACTTTCGAATAAGGCTTTGTTTTTTTTTTTAATTTCAAATATTTATATGTCATTCAACTGACAACTTAATTCAATGGTTTTTGTTACGTTAACCATTTTTCAAAAAAAAGGAAACAAAATCGAGTTCATCTAACTTAACCAACGCTAATCATTCATAGTTAACCAAGTTGTGTGTTTTTTTCTAACATTTTGATAAAAATTTCTTTACTCCATTAAACAACTGTTTGTAATGAAATGTTTTGGATAAGTAAAGCAAATCACTGATTGATATCAGTTGAAAAAAAAGTTTAGAAACCAGGAAGCACGAGTTTATTGTTTCAATTCCATTTTAGATAAAAATCTATGACATTGATAGCCAATAAATCTACTTAAGTATGAAATAAGGCTATAATCTTCACTCAAAAGTACTGAATAATGATCATAGCTTATTACAAATCGATTGTAGTTTAACAGTCTACATCATTGGATTCCAGATTGAGTCGGAAAACGGTTTATTATGTGTTACCTTACTTACTACTTACACCTGTTACCCCCAATGGAGCATAGTCCGCCCATCACTTTTCTCCACCCAACTTTGTCCTGGGCTTCCCTTTCCAGTTCTGTCCAATTTTTGTTCATTCCTCTCTTTTTCTCCGCGCAATGTGTTCCTTGGCCTTCCTCTTTTCCTTTTGCTTTGAGGGTTCCATGTGAGGGCTTGTCTTGTGATGCAGTTAGGTGCCTTTCGTAGTGTGTGTCTTCTATCCACTTCCACCGCTTCTTCCCGCGACTATGTTTGCGGACATATACACACATATTAGTCTGATATTCGCAGCCATTTCTCTACTGTTTTTGTTTTTGGTTTTTGATAGTTAGTAACACTTCTGTTTGAAAAAAACGGAGTCATTTCAAAACACAAAACTAAGATCATATTGAGGGAAATCAAATTCAAATACTACCAACTATCTTTAAGGAAAAAGTCATCATGAATAACTGGCATTCATATCCAGTGCTTTACCGAGTGTTATTGGATGTTTTTTTTTCATCATATTTGCTTAGCTTACAATTTATTACGAAAAAAAATGCAGTGTATCATTTACAATGTTATTTATATGGGTGATAATATATATATATATATATATGCTCTTAATTAACTAACCAAATTCAACTCACTTTATCATGTTTGCACATTCCCATGTACTTCTGCTTATTAGATTTTTCAATTTTTAATCTTTCTTTGTTTGTTTGATTTTTTTTTTTAAATTCTTAGTGGTGACCACATCAACTTCACCAACATCATCACCATTCAAGTATTGGTCGCCTGCATCGTTGTTGCAAGATTATTTACCTGAAAAATTTAAAGAATCTACAACTCCTCTATTCATTCCATCATTCTCTTCATCATCCACATTCACATCAACATCATTTCAACATTTGTATCATAATAATAATGCCAATGATCATCTATTGACATCAACAATGCATTGTGTTAATTATTTGCCAGCTGTACATATTCAATTGTATTTAAGTGACAATGCCAAACGTTTGGATGTTCTAATCAAACATGCCAGATATTTAGTAAGTTTAACAAGTACAGCTATTTATCTATATATTTATTTATTGATATATTTCTTTTTGATGTATTCAAATTTTCATTCATCATTTTCTCTCATCTATTGTTGTTTTTTCTTATTTGTGCTGATGAAAGTGTTTTATTCTGCCTCACTTATTTAAATGTTTGCTAGATGTAGGTATTACTGATTTCTAGTGAATTCTTTCCTCTGGTTATATGTTAATTTATATGTTGTGAATAAAAATGTATGCTTACTTTTTGTTTTACAAAACTTGTCTTATCTAAAACAATTTTTATTTCCCTTGTTTTTATCGTATATATTTCTACTTAAAGGTAAGGTATTAACAGAAATTAACCTGTCATATTGTCTGATCAGATGCTGCTGATTGATGTTGATCGACTTTTATTTATGAGCTTACAACATAGCCAGCAGTTTAGATGACTTGACCATATAGTTCATATTTTTGTTCTTATTTACTCACATGAAGTCTGATCCATAGAGTACATTATTTGTATGTACTCAATGTTGGAGCTGAATAACAAACACTGAGCCTAGATACATAATCTCTTGATGTATTCCTCTAAAGTTTATTTCGAAGAGAAAATAAATGTCAAGTAACTGATGTAATTATGATTATATTATATAATTATTAATATCTTGCTAAATTATTCATTTTGCATCATTGTGCAATGGTGCTTGTCACTTCCAGTATGTGCTTCATGTCTCTATGTGTTTCACTTCTACGTACCATGCTTAAAAATGGAATTTCAAGGCTGTTTTTTTCTAAGAAACATATAGTAGATAAATATTTTCTGATCTTTAGTAAATTACTGATCAATATGAGAATTTATCTTCATTAGACATGTAATCTACACTTCAGGATATATGGTCAATGAAAATTTCATTTTCCTTATTCAGAAAATTGTGTAACAAAGTGTCAACTAATTACAGAGTTTAAAATCTGTTAATGTTTTCTAAAGTTGAATAACCTATTCATAATTTTCCACAAGAACAATCGTGATCACAGTATAAATAGATGGTTTTATTGTCGAACGTATGCACAAAATAGAAACACTTCTTTCGCCGTCTGTCACATCACTTGTGATATAACTATTCAATCATCATTTTTCCATTTCCTATTACAATTAATCATAGGTGTGTTCATTTTTTTTTTCATGATGTATATATCAATTGTTTAAATTTCAAAAAATCATTAAAATTAGTTTGGTGTATTGGTAATCTTTGATTCCACTGGTAAATCTTAAGCATATTTTGTTGTAATCGACGATTGTAAATTAGTTAGTTAATAAACTATCTTGAACTATGGCTCACTCATCACTTCACCGTAGACTGAATCTAACATTTTCATCTCGCTTATTTAGCATAATGCATTTTATTCATGAGAAAGGTGTTTACACAATGGTTAATTTATTTAGGTCTGATTACATACTACTCATTCACTTCTGGTAAATGATCAGATTTTCTAAAACTAGATGAACTTATTATTAGCATGCATTTATGTTTTGGGTCAGCCATAATAAAAACTTTCTTCACTGCCAAGACTATACATCGGAAACCATATGCATTGTATTGCTTATCTCTATAATTAGTCGAAATTGAACTTCTTATCTCAATCCCTTTATTCATTTATAAGATAATATGACTAAAGTTTCCATATGGACTAGATTCATTTGTTATATACTAGGTAACTTAATATATGTTCTTCAAGAAATCTGTATTTTTAATGAGGTCTAATTGGGATACAAACTTTCTGTAAACTTCACTGAATTCGACTGACCGAAAGTAACTTGCTCACAACCAAATAATCAGTAGTGTTGTGTAGAATACAATAAGTCGGTATTTATTGGGATGTGAAAAATAATAAACTTCTATGTATACATTGTGTTGAAGATCTATGCTCAATTTTTGCTTTTTAAATCTTTTTTTTACCCTTTAGTACATTCCTGGATCGAATGAGCCACCAGATGTGTATATTAAAGTTTATTTGCTTTCTGGTCGACGTCGGAAATCAACAAAATATAAAACTGACATTGTACGACGATCTAGCTTTCCATCATTCAATGTTACTGTAAATAATATTCACTTAAAAAGAGTTTGTTTTCTGTTTTTTTTTATTTACTATTTTCATGATGTTTAAAATGCACAGATATGTTGAACATTGCCTTTGTCTGACAAATGTTTTATACTATCTATTAAACTGTTGCTTTAATCATATCACTATATTTGTTTAGTCAATATCTGTTTAAGCCAAGTAAATTCATGTCTATTGAACCTACTTACGTCCATTGCTGTGTAGATTTTAGGTTACTGTACCAAATGATGTCTTTCTCCATGCTTAAGGCTGACGCTTAATAGAAATAAATGGTTGTCCGAGCTGGCTTGAATTAGATAGCCACTGTTTTCTGTTCATTGGGCTGGAACACTAAAACTCACGAAAGTGTTTCTTGGCTTACTAGATCAGTTAGACCATTTTCTACAATGAACACGTTTAGCATTCAGCTTTTCAAAGGTCAGAATGGTTTCTATAAAATTCATCTGTTTGTTCATCCAGGGTTCAGTTAGGGGTAAATACAAGCAGATTCAACGGAGTAGTAACGGTATGAGTCTTTATCCTTTCTAATTATTACTGTTCCGTTTAATTGAGCAGCTCACAGACAACGTTCTATTGCACTCCAGTATCAGAGAATCTGTTCTGTCTCCAAATATAATTATATGCATGTGCTAGCGAAGGCACAAGAAGTAGCAGTCAAATACATATAGGGTAAATTTTGACTCAAGATTGACCAGGTAAAGTCGATTGCATGAACAAACTTGGATTGTGTGAGATTCAGAGACGAAGAATGTTAGCGTTACAAGATGCTGGTGTCCTATCTAATGTTTCTTTATATCTGATTTGATATAAGGCTCATATGTGAGCTCTAACACGTTCAGAATTTAGTTTTAAGTTACCAGGAATGAAAATTTTTACACACCTCTCCAAGCATTGTTGTGCTTGTGAGTAAACGTTGACCCGTTAGGAAGTACTAGTAATAGGAATCGAGAAAGCATCAAGGAGCTGCACATGTTGAATCTTAAAAAGCTATCTTTTCATTACGTAAAGTATATTTTCACGTCTAAATATAGCGTCTAACTTCTTTCTTTTTTCATATTTCCCATCGATTGTCATTTGGCAACTTTGTATGACTAATAGTTTTCCTATGATCTCATTCCAAATGATGTACAATGTGGTTTTGTTGAAGTTTCTGCTTGGCATGCTGTTAATATTGGTGAAAATATACCATTTGGACAAATCTACATTCAGCTGAAATCAATTCGTCCAGGACGAGTATACTCACACTGGTATATACTATGCTCGGACCCAACATGCATGAGTTAATTTCTTTATCAATAAAACACTAAGCCTTACATTCTACTCCTTGCTTTCAATTGATTTATTCTTGATATCTTTGTTTTTTCTCCTTTTTTTAAAACAAAACATTCATCCTAACTTTCTTAATATTTGTTCCCGTCACTCACAAATTTTATCAGTAACTTATTTATTTTAGCTAAGCACGCATTTTTTGTGCATTAAGATCACTCCAGCTGTTTCATTTTTTTTAAATGTTTTTGTTGCAACAATGCAGTTCCTCACACACACACAAAATACAACATTACACATCCATTCGACAATCAGCAACCGTTTCTATTCATACACCGAACAAAAACCGTGACTTCATTGCAAAATACCTAACATATCGATATTTCATAATTCCTCTTTTAGTAATAAGAGGAATACAAACGTGTATACCCATAATCAATTGGTCACCTATTCCTCTGTATGAAACAAAGCAAGTTGGAGGGCGTGAAACGTTTCCGTCATCAATCTGTCTTACTTGTATGCCCACGCTTCGGCATATATTGTAGGCTCTATTGTATTCGTCTCAATGTCTTTGTTTTCTATTATCAAGAAGCAGTCAGAAATAAAAACCAATACAAGTTTATGTTTCCTTTTTGTCCTATTTCGACAAACCTTTTTTTCTACATGTTTTTATTTTACAATGGTCAAAATCTATGTGTCGGCGATTTGTATTACTTTGTATTTATAATCACTGCATACTTATATTGGTGCATTGTGTTTTTTTTACACTGATCTTTTTTATTATTATTATTATTGTGGTTTTTTACGATTTATGTATACGTGGTTGTGTAACGTAATGTCTTTCCTGTATATATATATATATATATATATATATATATATATATATATATATAAACTGTTAATAAAAATTTTCATAATATGTTTCAATATTTGTGAGATGATTATTAATAATGTGATTAATATTTCATTTATTGATTCCTCTCTTGTTGTTTGCTTAAGATTTTTTTTATGAAAGCGAATAAAGAGATTTTAGTCAGAAACTATTGTAGTGTTTATTCATTGTTTCAATGTTTTATTGTTGCAATACGGTTTACTCTAACAAGTACAATACTTTAATTTATATTAATCATTGACTACTAGCCTGATCTGATTCGATTGTTGCAGAGTCCCTACTTTTAATCATCACGATAGATTCAACAGCAACGATTGGAGACTTGAAGTAACATTGCACAAGGTCAGGTGAAGTAGCTTGAATTCATTTATTTCCTACGTTCGCATATAAAGTGTCATTCCTAAATTACCGTTTAATTTTATTTGTCTCTTTTGGACTGTATTTATTGTTGTGGTTTTCTTCCAGGAATATTTATCTCTCCAAAAATAATAAAAATAAATTCAGTAGGTTGTGATAATGTCATGTTTTAACCATGCATCTATGTGGAGGCCTTGTCCTTTTTTCGAATCTATATTCGTGAGGAGGTTTATTATAAAACCAAGAATGTAGCTAACTAAGTTATTCTATAAAATATATATGCTAATGATAAATGAATCAACGGATTTTGTTAGGAAGATATAAAATCATTTTCACTTACAACTATACGACATGGATTATCTCTAATAGTCCGTTTGATGTGACAGCATTAATTTTATGTTCATTTGTGATAAATGTGCAATAAACTAGTGAACATTGAATGACTGTTTTACGCCTAGTCGATTACGAGAGACTACTTACCACAAGTGTCTTTGTTGACAATTTAAAGCAAAACGCACTAATTTATGTTGATAAGGATCTCGATATTCAAGGGATGTAGTTCAGAGAGATCTTTCGTTTTTAATTAATTCACTCAATCATAATAATAAAATCTTAAAATTTCGACCTGCCTTGTTCATTTTCCAATTTGTGTTTTGAAGAAACAAAGATAAATGTGCATTTATCGAGGTTTTTAATCAAAACAAACGACCAATCGTTTTGTAAGATATTTATTTGTCAAAATCCATATTATAAATTATTCCTCAAATTTAGGTAGATAGATTAAATGTGCGATGACCACGCCCACACATATATACATTAGAGATCAATTACTGCGGCTACTGCTACTCATACTAATGGCGTCTAATGGTTACTTTAATTAATTTTGTTATAAGAAGGGCTAATTAACTGCAGTTAATTGGAATAATTTTATTTTTTAAAAGAAGTTGAAAGTTTAATAGTTTTCTTGATTAGTTATGGCGTGTTAGATTTTATGCATCTATATCAAAGTAGTTCACACATTTCCTTTAGATGATAATTATGAAAAATATCAAAAATTGTGTTTCGCGAGCAAGAGAATACCTACAATCGGATCAGCAACGTCTTTGATGGGATAAATTTCACAACAGAAGAGAAGTTAAACAACAAACTATCATTCCTAGATGTATTGGTCACAAGAATTAACACAGGAAAACTGAAGATTCAAGTATTTCGGAAGCCAAACCACACAAGGTCTAACTCTCAACTACAGTAGCAACAACCCAAGAATTCACAAAAGCAGCTGCGCACAAACTTTGCTCAAGAGAGCGGAAACACGCTGCAGCACACACAAGAATGATTATCCATGCAATTTCATCAAAAATATCAACTGAAATCGTGAACAGAAGACCAACAAACGGATTATCCTACCATACATAAAAGACATATGGGAAATTGCTGTACGACTACTGAAACTATTTAAAATAGGTTTCGCAAACAAACCAACAGAATCAATCCTCTGCAAACCGAAGGACAAAATGGCGAAGGAAGAAAAACTAAATATCATCTACAAAATAAACTGCTCAGACTGAAAAACACTACATAGGACAAAGTGGACGTCCTCCTTAGCTTCGTTTGCGTGAACATCAATTAGAGGTCAAACGCCATAACATCTCTTCCCTGATATCAATGCTTAGGGACAACTATGGGGAAATACATCCGATTGGAACAATGTTGAAATACTGTATAGATGAAATACAAAGAACACTAGAGAATCTTTGGAAGCTTGGCATTCAAGTCAATCGGCAATCATCAAACACGTAGACATTGATGTAATTTATCAACCAATCAGAAAAATCATGGACAAACATAGAATCGAGAAACAAATCAGAAGGGAGACACAATCGAAATAAAGGTGCGAACGACGACAGTTGTAAGGTTAATAACAACCAATCAAGATCGAGGTTAGCAGAACAAGCTACGCATCTGAAGTGAAAAAATTCGAAAACTTCACTGCTCTCTGAAGTTTGTGCTGATGATGTTATTCGGTAGAACATTGAAAGCCCACAACCGAAATATCCAGCTCAAAGAATGAGACTCCACCAAAACGGTGGCATTTGGAAATTTTATATTACCGTTTTTATTCTGATGCTGGAAAATTTCTTTCATAACTCGGGTTCGAACTTATCAAAACAATGACCTTTAACTGATGGTTTCATTATTTGTTAAGGTATCATCAAATCGATCTAGTTGATCATTTCTATTTTTTTCTTTTTCTAGAATAAATCTTGACTAAAATAGACTAGTTCTAACCGGAAATTTTGTCTACCTTTAAATGTATTTTTTTTCTTATGAAACGTCTCATCAAATGCATGTAAGGAATCAAGGATTAAGCAAACATATATTTGAAATAAGTATACATTTGCTGCGTGTCTATGATTATTTTTATATTATGATCTCTTCGATTGTGTTCACATCTCAAATGAGAGAAATTGAAGAGTTATCTTATGAATTTCAAGAAAATCGCAGGTATCGTTTAATGTTTAAACTTTATTGTGATGACTGAAGTAGATTATCAAAATTCGTAATTGGAAAGTGGAGCAGACTTATATGAATGAATTGGTTGATTCACGTTTACACGCTAAGACATATAATCACTGTCTAAAACGTACCACTTGTAAAGCTAGTTGGAAAAGGAAATAAAATTATAATTTTGTAAACTATTAACTGAATATTCCTTTTTAAAAATTAAAATACAGAACTGTTTCGGAATTCTGAGAATTATTCTAACAAAAAAATCGAAACCTTCATGCTGTTTAATTTCAATAATAGAAAACTGTAAGTATGATGGATACTATCGGTAATGTGACTCATGCATAGTGTGGCTCAGAAGTTACTGCTGAAGTGAAAAGTGTCGGATCTGGACTAACGACACAATCGAAGTTTCTTGAGGAAGACACCCAAGAACCATGTTTATTTTGTAAACGAAGTCTCAAAATAGGGTGTATACATTTTGCTAGTAAACTATATCTTCTTTCAATAAATTGCTCGTTATATCGGATCTTGACATCTTTGTTCATTACACTAATACAATATTACATGTTAGTAACTTGAATTTCTAAAGCTACTAAATATCACTGTCGATTTCATACTAAACATCACTCACTGAACGAAATAATCAGTACTTGTTCATCCTGAAGAGGGTAGAATAATATGAATTGATCTTGTCTCGCTAGGTTCTCGTCGGCGGTTTACACCCTATACATATTTTTATGAGCTTATTACATTTACTGGAAACTTCGCTACAGCATGTTACAAATATCTTTAATCACTTTCGTATTTATAAGTATGTGAATTTCTACGATAATTTCGACTTTAAAAATATGTAAATAGGTTGTGACCAGCTAATTAAAATAAATCCACATCATTCTCCATCAAGCTTTGTTTTCGCTCTCATTAAACTAATAAAGGGAACTGTTGATTTATCCGTTTATAGCTTCATCACAAACATATCATATTCAATACTTTTCTCCCAGTTTGCATTTCATCAGTGTTACACATTTTAGCGGCCCATTATCTGACTTCTTTTTTTTCAAACAGAATATTAAATATGCCATAAAAATGAATCTTCCGTTTTTATTCCAAATATCACACCTAAGCTAACTTTGTTTGAGCGATGGCAGTAATGAGAAGCCGAATACAGCTTAATAGGAATGAATTTATTTCATCCATTCATATATGCAGACATTAAGATAAAAGGCGAAGCGGAGAAAGCTATTATATTGACGTGACTCGATAAGTTGTGACTAAAGATTTATAGCTAAACATAAATAGGTTATAGAGTTCTGATATACAGGGTAAGCAATGAACAAATAATTAACAAAATCACATTATATTTGGACAGTGACCCAAGTAGAACAAATTAATTGTTCTGTCCAAATGTTAGAATAATTTATGTCAGCTTGACATAGTATACACTACAGCATCTGCAGTTGTGCAGAGTATAATACCTAGATCCTTAAGTTAATTTACTTACTACTTACTTACGCCTATCACCCCCAATGGAGCATAGGCCACCGACCAGTGTCTCCTACCTACTCTGTCCTGGGCTTCCCTTTCCAGTTTTGTTCAATTTTAGTTCATTCTTCTCATGTCTTTTTCTATTTCACGGCGTAATATGTTTCTTGGCCTTCCTCTTATCCCCTGATCTTGATGGTTCCATGTGAGGGCTTCTCTTGTAAGGCATCTGGGTGGTTTCCTCAATATGTGTCCTGTCTACCTCTAGCGCCTCTTTCTGATTTCGTCCTCCATTGGAATATGGTTTGTTCTCTTCCACAGTAGACTGTTACTGATGGTGTTAATTTATATATGATAAACTATAAAGGAAAATAGTACTGAAATCAGCTAGTAATTTCAATGATCAATAACTTTTCTATGCTTGATCTAATAATGAAATTAATTTATTTATAAAGACTATAATTTCTTATCTTTCTTAAATTGATTGTAAAAATATTTGTAGATAAATTTCAACTTAGAATTCATATATCCTACCTACTATTGCTTGCTGTTAAATGTAGCTGAGAACTAATTATCTCAATCCAAATGTTCATATATATTTGTTTTTTTCAA